ATATATACTGAGGACGCTTTCTCTCTCATCAGAGCTATGGGATCCCTTTCTGAAGACAATCTCAAGCAGGTTGTAGCGAGAAACGTAAGCGCTGAGGATATCGCGGGTTTACGAGGTCCTCTTTCCAGTGATTGGGCATGGAATTCAATGAAACAACTGTGGAAGCGCAACTACTTCAAACGAGCTTGGATTATTCAAGAGGTGGCTCAGGCGGAGAAGATATTAGTAATGTGTGGTGAATATTTTCTCGACTGGGACTATATTGCTCGTGTTTCCAGAATTTTAACACTGACGCCTTGGAAACGGGTGTCGAATATGACAGCACACGATGGAGAAGCCCGAGTGGATTCAACTCACACCCTGCCACTATACCTTAACTCAAACCGTAAGATGGTGTCTTCAGGGAAAGGCTGTGATTTATTACCCATACTTATCAAGGCGCGGCGATTTCAATGCTCTGATCCGAGGGACAAAGTATATGCCTTGCTTGGTCTCCTGGGAGACCACGCAAAAGATAAGATGCGTCTCCAACCCGTCTATAAGGGCCGATCCACTGCTGACGTCTATTTCTCTACGGCGATCCAGATATTGGAAGACACAAATGATCTATTACTCCTTGCTCACGCCGAGGGGCAGGATTTTCAAACCATAGAGGACCTCCCATCCTGGGTTCCTGACTGGTCATGCGCAAAGGGCGTGGGCCTTGGAATTACCGGGTACACAAGATTCGCTGCTGCGGCAAGCCTGCCCCGGTTTCTTAGAATTGATGAATCCAATAAATCCCTAGTCCTCCGTGGCTTGAATCTTGACAGAATTGTTCAAGTTGGTGAGTCCAAGGTTGACGCGATTAATCATAAGGGTCTCGCGTATTTTCCTGGTTGGATTTCCATCTTATCAGCTCTTCCTCCCAAATATCACACCGGACAGCCAAGCACAGAAGTATTCTGGAGAACCCTTATCACCGATACAGCTGGGCCTAACTCTCAACCAGCACAGCACCCAGCAGCAGATGATTTTAAAGTTGCTTTTTGCAGTTGGCTTGGGGAGCTCGTTTCGCGATGGAGAGATGAGCCCCCATCTACGGAGAAAATGCACTTTCTAGAGAAGGTCGACCATCTGGGTGCCTCGGGCCAGACTGGTCTTTTCCAATATATCACAGAGAAACAAAGTACAAGCTTCTTAAACGATTCAGACCGCAGCGCCTTACTCGAGCAAACCAATGGCTGCGATCCCCCCCCTTACGGGTGATTACGAAATCCACTTAAAGTATTCTACCCAGACAAGGCTGGTACGAACCATCAGTAACTACCTGGGCCTCGCTACAACATCTGTTAGAGAAAATGATTCTGTGTGGATTGTGGCTGGCTCCCGGATCCCGCTCATCTTGCGAGAAACCAGTCAACGACATGTGTATAGGCTCGTCGGAGGGGCTTATATCCATGGGTTCATGCAGGGGGAGGCATTACAAGCTGATACCAAATTTACAGATATCGAGATAGTGTAGAAAGAAAACCATGTACGGAGTAGAAAGCACCCCATTGTTTAGAACGCGCATTTGCTAACTATATACGGGGCCAGACTAGCACAGCTGTGTTCTTCTTCTGCTGCTGCTGCTGCCTTTTTCCTCTCTTTTTTTTTTCTGTGGGCATGCTCAAGAACTGAATGAAGTGAAGGACATGGGAGCGTTATGAACTGAGCTGAGAGTTCATGATAATACAAAACGTCTTGTATCACTGCCAAAATTTGTTAATATTAAATTAACTGTACACGTACTAGGGTTCCTGGCCCAGACTTTGAGAAACAATCCAGAAAGTCTGGAGTAAGCAGGGCAGCCATGAAACAGGTGTAATACATAATACCACGATTTCAATGTATGGAAATACGCCGTTTTAGCTGTGACGCGAACAAACGATACGAAAGAGAGCCATCGGGAGTGTATCAATGAATAGACAACCAATAAGATAAGTACTACAAAAGTCAAGACCATACGGTGAAGTCAAGAATAGCGCTCTCCAGTGATGTCTTTGTAATCCCAATCTCCGTATTGATAACTAACAGTTCCATCTTACCGAACTACGAGTACTACTTACTAACTTACACTAATGAGCGCTAGTGTGCAGTTCATCGATTGGTGGCTGAGTATGTCGAGTCGAGGCGCGTATACGTATGCCGGACCCACTGTTGATTAGCCCCGATTTTTCGGCTTATGTTCGTTTCTTGAGTCGAGTTCTTTGTTAACACAAATAAATTCTCGACTCCTTCAATCGCGTCTTGGAGAAATACCAATGTGAATCGGGAGCTGAATCAGTATGCGCCACACGTGCTGCCGATCGATCTGAGATCTCTGACTGTCATAGTAAACAAGGGAGAGAGGCACCACATCTCAACTCCTAATTCGCAGCCGCGAGTAACTCTCGTGGCTCAGGAATCTGTCTGCCTGGGCCGTGACAAGCTTTTGCTAATGCGCCGAATCGTCTGGACCTCTGATTTGGTCACCCCCACCATGAACTATGCTAGCCGGAGAGCCACAATGTTGCGCCAGAAAATGCCACAACCAATCCCGACATGACTCGATGGGACAGTACACTGGGTCACCAGCGACGAAGGTTTCTGATTCGCGGAACACATGGTTAAAGCATGGACAACGACATACGTCGACCAGTTGAAGGAGGTGACGACGCAAGGGGTGCCGTTGCGTAGAGACGAATGGCATGTTCGTACCTGAATGTAAGATTGTGGAGAATATCAACAACCAACACGCGCTAGATGCCACTGGAAGCCACACGACGTGTGTCTGCCAGAGGTGGCCACCCATTTTTATCCTTAGAACGACTTGCGAGCGTTTCAGATGGTGTTCATTTGGCTGTCCGACTCGGGGCTATCCAATTGACACTATGGTTAGTCGTCCCGACGGTGTGATTCGAAACGCAACGACAAGCCTTGGCCCTCATCTCATCATGGATATTGGGTCTAGGTGCTGACGATTGATTTCCCGGACTCCACTTAGTACGGAAAACTTGGGGGGATTGTCTGTCGACCGCCGGCGTTATATACACCGTGCAACGCGCTCGCTCCTGGAGTCTTGATCGTTTAGCTTGGATAGTTTTTCGCTCCTTTTTAGCTGGTCTACTAACGCTCCTTTATTTTGATCACATCCACCATGCAGTGGAAGTCATTCCTTTTGTTTGTTGCCATTGCCGACTCGGGCCTGGCTCGCCTCCATGGCCACCAGCGTCGGCACAAACATCATCCCGCCCATCCGGATCTGCAAGCCCCAAAGGCGGATCTGAAAGCCAGAGATTTGGAAGTTAAGACCGTCGTCGACCTGGATGTCGTCACCGTCACCACTACTATTACCGGTCAGCCCGTGGCGGACACCCCTGTCCCAGCCACCAGCAGCACCACTACCGTTACGGCAGTACCAGCCGAAGTCACCCCCGCGGATACCCACGAAGATGTCATTAGCATTGACCTCGGCGCCAGCATAGGAGTCTCCGTCGCCGCATCCTCTCTTATTCCCAGTGCTGAGAGCACCGCACCAACCAGCACTGCAGCGGCCAGCACCACCGTCTCAGGAGGATCCACCAGCTGGACATCGACGCCCTCCAGTGGAGAGTTCTCCACTAGTGGATTCGGAACGCGCACCAACTCGAGTGGCAGCGGCATCGAGTACAGCGGCAACGTTGGCAGCCCGTGGGGAAGCAACATCATCGAAGTGAGCGCCCGTACCGCATACCAATATAAGTATGTCGTCCAGTTCACCGGCAGCAACACCGACGACTGGACCGTCGTTTTCTGGAACAAGATCGGCCCCGATGGCAAGATGGACGGCTGGTACGGTCATTCGGCTCTGAACTTCACCCTAGGCGCCGGCGAAACGAAGTACGTCGCCTTCGACGAGGACTCGCAAGGAGGTTGGGGTGCGGCGAAGGGGTCGTCACTCCCCACAGATGATTACGGCGGATACTCATGCACCTGGGGAGAGTTCGACTTCGGAAGCACGATCAACGACGGCTGGTCTGGATGGGATGTCTCAGCTATTCAGGCGCAGGCGGCTGGACAGACCGTTCAGGGAATGAAGATCTGTAACCATAACGGAGAGACGTGCTCAACAATCACGTCTGGCGCATCGACGGTGACCAACGCGTATACCAAGGCAGAGGCCTCGGTGGACGGCATTGGCGGTTCGCTCAACACGGATTCGGTGCGCTTGGTGGCTGTTTTAGATTATAGCGCATGATTTGTAAATACGCATAGACATGTATATATATAGCTTGTCAATCGGAGGGGTGTATATATATGGATGGATAGATATATCTGATCTCATAAGTTTTGTTCGCGAATGTTATCCGCAGATCCCAAGTCTCTTTTTGCGCTTCCCGCTTCTTGGCGCGTTGAACACATGAAGTCTTTCGAAGGTCCTTGCCTAGTAGGGTTTAAAAAAAAATACCACAAAAAACCTGGATATGCATATTAGACTATCATCAAGGAATAATTTTTAAGACAAGGTGAGGGTAGTTCTCCACCGGTATTTGTGGTTGTGGGGGATTAGTCCGTCAAGCGTCGGTGGTTGCTCGGATATATATATCGTGACATAGTATCTTGGGCGGTCACCACATACTGCCCGCTTTCCTCATCTCTTTCATAGTCCATCCTACTCTGGACTTCATGTCATATCCCTCTTCCTTTTTCAATATAATGAAACAAAGGCTCCTTCTGCATTATTTTCTTGATTACTCTCCCCGAGGACCACATGGTTAGTAGAATAACAATCAAAATTGTACCTAGTGCCGACCAAATGCCGACAGAACAGCACTAAAGATTTTAGATAGCGGTTGATGTGCGAGTCTCCAGACGGAGCCTCCCGCAATTCCGCAGCGAAAGTCTGGTCCGTTCTATAAAAGGCATCATGACTGCACATCAAAGTTCTGACGAGCGAGAGAGACTCCAGAGAGGGAAGGATTGACATGGTCGTATAATCCTGGCTGCCAAATTGGCCCCCAACGGCCCACCAACACGGGAAATGCCAAATGAAAGGGCCAATGCGGTCGCACGTCGTTAGTCACTGGGAGTGCACGGCTCGCATTGATGGGCAAGAATGTCGCCAGCCTTGCAGCACTCAGCCTCGCGATTTTTATTTTAACCTCAAGCCCTGCCCCTCTCTTCGCCTTGTCACTGTCTCTACTGAGGCTCTAAGGACTGGTACATGATAACTCATGCGAATGCATGTCTTCCGAGGACTGAACCGTCGCGGACGCAATGCTGGAATTTAAAAATTCCATAGGCGAGAGGCTCGCCAGGCGATTGAATCCGGGCTCCAAAAATCATACGTTGGTTCAAGTGCAGTCCGAGGAACACAGGGATACCGATCCTAGTCGAGAAAATGACACGCTACCGGCCAGTTACCATGGCCCCGATAAAAACGGTGGCAGCCCATTCCAGCTGTGGACCCCAACTGTCCTCCGCCCGTGGGCCTTGGTCGCATTTGCGACGCTCTTTGTTGCTATCCTGATAGTGGTCCAAGTGCTTTATAGCGTGTCAACCAAGAACAATGGTATCAGTGCGAGTGATGCAAAGTACCGTTATCTATGGACGTACGGTCCAACCGCTGGTAGGCTATGGTTCTCACAAATGCGATGGGAACACTGCTGACATTTTGCGAAGTACTAATTATCGTGGCCGGAATCTGGGGACAAGTGGAGTACCGCACGAAGCAACTCATGCCATGGAAACTCATGGGCCAAACCCCAAGACCGGCATCGCAAAGTTTGCTACTAGATTATGTTTCGGACTGGAACGTAGTCACTTTGTTCAGGGCCTTGAAGCACTGTCATTGGGTCGTTGCCATCGCAATTCTCGGAACCCTGCTCCTGAAGCTGTTGACGGTCGCTTCGACAGGTCTGTTCATGCTTCAAAATGTCCACGTCAGCAATGTCCATACCGAATTGACAGCGGAAGCGACGTTTAGCGGCACGGGCTATAACAGTGCGAAAGTTGGTAGCAATGCTGCGCTGACCGTTGTCGGCAATGAATTTCTCAATCTCCCCCATCCCGTCGGAACCACGGACAAGTATGCGTTTACCCCTTTCCACGGATCCGATACTCCATCAGGTAAGTCAAGACGTCATGTCTAGGAAGGCCGCAGATCTTTTAACTTCAATATAGGTTCGAACACGATTCTCTCCGGCACCGTGGATATGTTCTCCACGGATCTCAGCTGTAAAGTAGCAACGGTCAAAAACTGGACTCAGGGATGCGAAACCAAACATTGTGAACAAACACTGTTCAACTTGACTTTAAGTACCCCGGAATGCTCACAGTACCAGTTCAACGCGTTCAAAAGAAGCACTTCTGCTGTGGGTGGATGGCATGCGAACGTCTTCTCGGAGAGGTGTGCCACCTCCAATGATGACACGAACACTGACCGAGTGATTTTCGCTGCTGCCCACTGGTTGAATAACAGTGCACAGGTTCAGTCCCTTGTTTGTGAGCCTACGTACACGATATCACCAGGTTTGGTCTCATTGTTTAAAAGCAATCAAAGTGTCGCAGGGATCAACTCCACTGACGAGGCGGCCACCTCCAACCATACAATTCCAAATGTAACAGCGGTCGATGTAGTCTCTGGCTTGCTTTCTACGTTGACAGCTGCAGATAATGCTGTGGGCACCCTGATCCAGTTGAATGGTGGCTTCGCTGCCAACTTAAGCGACCCGGATAATAACTATCTCGACCCCTTTTACCGGATTGCTACTGTTTCATCTGCAGACAATTTTGAGCCCTTACTGGATGCGGCGCACTTGGAGGCTATTTCTCGTCCAGTTTATAATGCAATTACTGCACAGGTAGCAAGAGAATACCTCATGAACCCTGCAAATAAGCCATTCAATGGCGTATATTCGGCGTCCACAGAGAAGCTTCTTGTGAGAGAATTGTCAGTTCGGCTCATGGAAGCCGCGTCGGCGCTTTTGGTTTTGGTGGCAGGGGCGATGTGGGTGTGGAGACCGGCCAAATGCACCCCTAGAGACCCTGGCACAATCTCTGGCATGGCAACGATATTGGCCCGAAGCCCTGACATATCTCGTCGACTTTCTGGCATTAAGAATAGACCTGATATGAAATCGTCGCTGGTTGGCGGTCTATTCACTTCGGAGATTGCCAACATTGACGGCCAACGAAGCTTTAATATCGTCACCCAGCATGATGCGAAAGAGGACTTTCGTGCTGCCGAAGCGTCTAGCCAGATATCCTGGTGGAAACCTCTCGCAATGTCGTTGGGTTGGCGAATCCTTACTTTAGCTGTCCCCCTTCTTGTCATTGCGGGCCTAGAGACCGCCTACCAGATCTCCCAGAAACGAAATGGCTTGGCTGATATCACATCCGATGGTTATATTCGCTACACCTGGGTATATATCCCTGCATTTATAATGCTGTTGATACAGGCTCTTTTCGAATGCAACCACTTCTCCACTCAGGTTGTCCAGCCCTACTTGGAGCTGAGACGAGGCGGGTTAACAGCACAAGAAGGCTTGATGGACAATTACCTGTCGAAACTCACCATGCACGCCCTTTGGAGTGCATTAGTTAAAAGAAAGTATGCAATTTTCACTACTGCACTGACTATGATTCTGGCACCTTGTTTGACAATTGCCGCGAGCGGTTTGTATTCTACCGAAGCTGCTAGCTATGTGCGGGCAGTGTCTATCATGAGAAACGACTCATTCAACTCGACCGTGGATCCTCAAGCCTACCACTCAGGACAGAAAGGGATAGGCCTTACCGGAGCTCTTGTCGTTGGGGCCAATCTCTCATATCCAGACTGGACGTATGATGAAGTAGTACTTCCGGTTCTCAACGAAAATACGCTCACGGATGTGAAATACGATGCCATATATAAGCCCACAAACCAGAGCTCTACTACTGACAGCACACTTGAACTGACATACCCTGCGCTCCGCGCTGGCCTTAACTGTACAGCCCTTGAAGAGAGCCAGATTTTGGAAACACGTGCATACACACTTGATTCCATGATGTCAGTGTCCTTGTCTCTCGGGGGTGAATGTTGGACTTCAAGCCGGAAACTCGACAACAAGACTAAGGTCGAGTATTACACGATGACTCTGCCAGTGAACGCCACGACTTACAACGGCACTGCCTTTGGCACGTTTCAGGTTACAGATATCATAAATGAAAAGCCAGAGTGTCCGAAATTAGTGGGGTTATATGGAACAATGAGCAATCCTAATTCCACCGACACCGACGGCATACGTGGGTTCACATGTTTCCCGTACGTTGATGAAGTCGATGTGGATGCAACATTCACCGTTCCGGGATACAAGATCCAGTCAGCCACGCCGGACGAGTCCTCACGCCGGCGTTTCGCCGACAGCCTTGCATCACAGTTGGATTTTGATTTATTCTTACCCACGAGCAACGCGCTCTCTGCATACAATGGATTTGACAATGTCTTCACCGCCATGATGCAAGACCAGAAGACTTTGACCGTTACGGATCTTGAACAGGCGGACCGGTTACCTGCCGTGATCGACGCCACACAGCATCTCTATCGTGTTATTATGGCTCAAAGCATGAATGGAAACTCCCGACTGCCGTTAGAGAAGGAGACGACCTACCAGGGGACGGTTGTCGATCCTACGCGTGTCCGTCTCAAGCAAAGTGCGGTTTCTACCCGGATCCTCGAAGGGTTTCTGGCCGCCATGACTTTTTGTATTCTGGTGGCATTCTACTTGGTGCGTCAGAGGGAGGTGATTCCGGTGAACCCATGTAGCATCGCTGGGGCTGCGACGTTGTTGGCCGGCTCCGAAATGCTGAAGCCGGACGTGATCCCGCCCGGATCTGAATGGTGCGACGATACCGAGTTGGTGAAACGGGGAGTTTTCAATGGATTAATGTTTGGTCTGGGATGGTGGGAAGGGACGCGGTTTGCGATTGATATTGGGCGGCCGGAGGAATAGATGCGATACAGTTCCTGTTTCATTTCCTTCTCCTTCATGTAATTACGACTCTTAATGATAGCGAGATACGACTATAAATTTTGACTTAATGTATTTATGATCCATAACGACGCGACGTTATTCCTGTCTTCCTGCTATAATTTCTACACCAATATCGCCCCCAACCTCACTGAACCAACCACTTAACAGCCAAGACCAACATCCCGAGTATTTTCCGCTAGCCATTGATTATGTTCTTGATCTGGTACAGTACGCCTTGAGAGCTTGGGGAAAACTCGCCAACGTAGCATGGTTACATCTCTAGTGAATCCCAAAATTAGACGAAATACAGTTGCATTGAGAGAAGCGTGTATCTGCTGTCGATATTGAAGCTGTCAGGCCCACCGGGCATCGTATATGCATTGATCAGGCCGACTGCCGAGCCCTACACGCTATAGTCGATGTCAGCCGCCGGAGTGCGTTTGATAGGCTGACTCAGTGCACAGCCATGTAGTTAATCCTGACTTGGCCATGTCACGCTTTCATATCTGTCCCCAGCTTTTTGCTGTCAGGCTAAAGATAGTAATAATGCACTGGCAGTAGGGACCTGCCAAGCCAAACCTGCCGTCAGAATTGGTATCCCGGTTCTTTGTTGTTTTGAGGCCTGATGACCCCGATTGGAGGTGGAACCATGGATGCATGGAATTATGGTGGTGGCAGTGGTTCTTCTGTGTTTCCATTACCGAAGTGACCAATAAAGAGAGTAAACGGCATGCCTAATGCATAAATCCCACCGTGGGACTAAGAGGCAGACAAGCCGGAACCCAGTGGGGACCCGAGATCGGGCCAACAAGATCACATTGCAGCATCACACAGCAGCATCAGCCCGGTAGCTTGTGCACGCCCAAATGTCATATCGGTCCAAAATGCAGGAGGCGTAGAACCATGCATTGTGTGTGACTTTTTGTGCACAGCCCTAGACCGCCAGTTGTTAGTCGACTTGGCGGCTCCACAGAATCGGAGACAAAGATCCAATGGTGAAGATGCCAACCCGACGATCAGCCTCACCTTAACTGCCCTCTTTTCCGAAGCTTCCCCAGATTTCTTCGGCTCACGGTGAGTTTCGGGGGGGTCTAAGGGCTAAGGGTTCAGGATCCCTTGCGCCTTGCGTCTATCTTTAGACTTTTGGCCCTTTTGTGTTTGTTTTTGGAATTATTGTTTTTTTTTTCTTTTTTGACCCGGTGATTCCTTCAGATCCACTGCGCTATTAATTTATCTAATCTCTGATCCTGGAATATAAATATATCTTTCTGATCTGCCCGTTCAGGAGAATTATTCTCTCCATCATCCTCACATCTAGTGACTCAATCAAATCACACCACCACCACACGGTTACCAATACATCTTCTACAACCACCATACTTCTTAATATATTATAATTTTACACCCCTCAATTTAATTACAGTCCATTAATCAAATCACAATGCATTTCCACAAAATAACATTGGGCGCCACCCTCGCCGCTCTCCTGAGCCTAACCACCGCCCTCCCAACCACCTCATATTCCTCCCCCCTCACCACCCGCGACAACGGCGAATGCCCCCCCGGAAAGGCCTACTATGTCTGTAATGAACCCAAATTCCGCGGCTGCTGCTCCATCGACCCCTGTGGCCGCGAAGGCAGCTGTCCCGACGACAAGCCCTCAACCTGCACGCCGGGCCAAATCTACCAGCCCAAGATGCAAACCTACCTCCTCCCCTCCTCGGACCGGATCTCCACTCCAAACCTTAACGTCTCCAAATCCGCCACCGCAGAATGGGATCAGACGATGACGTTCTCTGTGCCTAAGAACGCTAAGACCTGCACGCTGATGTGGGGCGTGCCAGCCGAGCGCAATTTCAAGGCCGGCCAAAATGCCCTGGTGAGAGTGTGGCAGGGCGATAAGGCCGAGGGCGAGAGCATTGGGGCTGCCGATTTCACCAATTGGCCCGGTGTTGAGGGTCCCCATACCCATACTGTGGGGACTGTGCAGTGTGGTGAGGAGATGGTTTTCCGGGCTCGGTTGGATAAGGAGAGTGAGGTCTTTTTGGAGCAGGGGGCCGAGACTGGGTGGTATATTGATTACAAGTGTTAGGGCTGCGGTGGGTTTACCTGAGGTGTGGATATCTTTTTTTGGGATGATTTCTTTTTCTTTTTCTTTTTTTCGCTTTTCTTTCTCTTTATGATTGTTTGTTTCTCGGCATTTCTTCTTTTGAGTGAGTTTTCTTTTCTTTTCACTTCTTTTCTTATAGATAGTCTTCGGTTTGTATATGCTCCTTCGTTTGTATACAGATAATGTCTAAGATAGTGATGACAAGCATAATGAGATATAGTACTAGTTCAAAGTTTAGATCGTGCAGAATTTTAATCTAAATTTTAAAGGTGGAATGTCCCTGACATGGAGAATTTGTAGACTCCACATTCCAGCAAATTTAATCACGTCACAGAGCTACAAGTCGATATCATAAATGCGTTCCAAAGATAGAAGTTAAAATTTTGGAATCAGCGAGCCACAACCTACATGACGAGCACGTGTTACAGAAAATACCAATAAAAAGGTACATAGTCAATACAATAGTAAACCCTGGAAATCATCTCCGATAGTGCCTTAATTGAAAGGTTACACTGAAGTCCTTTTAAGCTCCACCCGGAATGTAACCACTGGAATGGAATGTTAGGGCTGACTGAGATCACAACCACTCCCGTGACTTATCTCCGACACATGCATCTTCTCTACGACTACAATGACGACATGGCAGGAACATCGATACTCTCGATTTCCCAGATCTTTCCACCTTCACTAGATGTTAACCCGGAGTAAGTTGCCCCGCCGGCTGATGAAATCGTGTCCCCGAAGGTCTCGTCCGCTGATGCGAGGGTGATCTTCGTGTTGAGGTATTTCTGGGCGGCGATGGTGCCGGTGCAATCTTCGTTGCATTCTGTGCCGGTTCCATAGCTGGTTTGGTTAGATTTTTATGATTTATAATGGTGAAGGGGGAGGAAGGAGAACTTACCCGGTCATGTAGGGACCAGATTTATATGAGAAGGTGGAGAGAACTTCTCCCGTTTTTGCGTCGGTCACATTCCTAGATATCATGAGCAACTATCTCCAATAATAGTAAACCAAGTTAGAAAGAAAAAGAGAAACATACTGTAACCAAGTATCCCCATCCTCCAACAACGTATACTCAATCAGTACCTGATCATCCCCCTTAACAGGCGACGCATCCCCATCCAACTGCCCAAAGCTCCCAAACAAACTAGCCCTAACACACCACTCACCCGACTCAGCACCACACCATTCATTACTCGCCCAGCTCTCCAGTGTAGTTTGCACCAGATCGCCCGTCCCGTTACTCATCCCAGGCCAGAGAAAAAGCACCCCGTTCTGGGTCGCCGGTGCCGCACCAGGAATAAGAGTCGTCACGGCATTCGTGATCGTCGACTTTGTGGGGCCGAGAGAGACACTCCCGCCCCATGTGTCGGTTCGCTTGGTGTTGGTTGATGCCAAGGCGAGGGCTGGGGGGAGGAATGTGGTAGCTGTTTGGAACTTCATGGTTCCTTTTCCTGATTTTCTTTGGATTGGGTGGTTTCAAGTTGTACGCGAGGTTCGCTTGGGAATTGCCAAGTACATGATGGATTTATTTATATGGGGGGTGTTCGGATGTGCTTGGACCATTGGTGTTTCACTTCAAAACAACGTCCTCTTGGCAGTTCCCGCATGGTCATTCGAGTAATTTATGTGAGACCGGTAGATGGCCTTTTTCGGGAATTGCTCTGTGGGCTAGTGGGTTATGCCGCCAACTGGGGGTTCGTTGGCTTTTTGTGATATTGGTTTGTGCTTTATCCTCCTACCAAAGCGTAGTATACTTTGTATGTGGCCACCCCACGGCTTGCCATTCAACATATAACCACTAGAGATCCAATTGACATTCTTGATAATCACATAACATATTTGGAGTAGGTCAACAAAGCCTAGGCAATCGATATAGTTTGTATGCTTTGACCGTCCCCACATGATCAAAGCAAGGCCGTAGAGATGGCGATATCGAACATGGCCTTTTGGGGTCTCTAAGCTCTGCAGATACCGAACGTACAATTCGGTGCAGGATACCCCTTTTTTTTCTTGGAACGGAGTGGATCCATATAGTCTATCTTGTATGTGTGATCAATTATATGCTCGAAAGCGATCTCGAAGTCACCAGTCAAAGTGGTTGCATTCATTGGTCGGTCAACATCAGTCTCACTCGTGGGCTCGAACATGGTCAGAAGCCTATGGGCTCTTTTCTTAGCCTCCAACTAGATAGAATATACAGTGTAAGTGAGGGACCAAAGATTGGCGTTATAATTGTATATACCTGCACCTGCTCTCCATGCTTCATTGGCATTAGAGAATGGGGGAATATGTGGGCGATCTCTAAATCTTTACAAGCATTTGCCGTCGTCGTCTTTTGCACTCCCATCCGTCCCTCTTCAGTCTGTTCACTGCCTCCACTCGACAAAGATCCTGGTGGCCACGCATCTACGCTGGTATCGTTTGAGTCAGGCTTCTCGGAAGGTTCCTAGGTGTTCAGCAGTTTCGATAAATACTCGATTAGAACGATGGAGACTAGAGAGATTGTCAGGTATTGCGTGAGGGGTCCTGAGCGCTAACACCTTCACTAAATAGAATCAGCGTCTTAATAATTTAATCCCAAATTTTATTGTTCTGGCACAAACTAGGCAATCTCGAGGTTTCCTTAGGCTGCAAATTAGTGTTTCTTAACTACGAGCAATGGCAACGTTATCAGAGGCGCTCATCCCAGGACATAAATTTCCGACCAAAGGTTCTTCCACCATCTCACCATTACCGCACTTTGAACAATTGCCATCTTTCATGCCTCGAAAGGCTTAAAAGCAAACAACCTTAGCACTGCAGTGAGCGTTTTAGGACACTGGTTATCACCAAGGTCCGCCCAATACACATTCTAATTTCGGTAATAAATAGAATTAGGAATCGTGCATCTTCCCAATGATCAAGAGCCCCTATGAGTGGGATCAGGGGTTAGTGGATGGGCTAGAATGCCCTTAGTGAGATATAAGACCCGTGAACAGCTGAAGTGGATCACCACAAGGCTGGCCCCAGAGGCAGAATATTCCACTCATCTGTGACCGTAGTAATTAGGTTAGGCGGACTCTCCCTGCGGAGACGGGCAAAGTATACTTGGGTCTGGGATTGCTGCACATAGATTAGCTATCAGAAACACCAAAGAACCTGTGGACCCATCTTTACCAAATTTATTTCGCACCCACCCTACTCACCCCAGGCTCATCTAGACAAAAGTCTATCTGACTTCTGGCCGCGTTGAAATCAAAGGTTAGTACGTAGTCAGAAAGGTTACTACCAGTAAGGCCCTTCTGTTTGTATGTTTTCCCCTTGTTGCCTGACTTGTTCTATCTATATCACTCCTTGTGGGCCCCCAAGCTACGATACCTACACCTATTGAATCTCAGACATATTCTAGTCCCACTGTGTTCCACCTTTCACCCAAACAAGCCACTCCAAGGGTGATATTAAGGGATATGAAAAGCAATCATAAACATAAACTCCGGGGAAACCCCCCAAAACGACCAACCCAGTGCCTGGCTATGTAACGTATGCTTGGGAGGCGGTTCTTACAACAAAATTGAAGCAGGCATTCTGCAATATATTGGATCCGAAGCACCAATCTTATACACCATCCTTTTTGCAACCGAGTTTTTATGTTATTCTTTATAGACCGGGGTGCTTCCAACCATGTATCGGGAGACCCTAGCAACACAACTGCCATATAGATGCAAACAAATTAACACTCTATTAATCCTCTTAGCTTAAATACAAACTACTCACAAGGCAATAAACGAAAGGGAAAAAAATAGGAAGTGTTATCATTGACTCGTGTATATGTTTAAGTTTAGAATAATCCCTGACACTCCAACTAGCAGAACTCAACCGAAAGCGAAGACGCCAAACTCCACGACTCGAATATACCCACGAACAGTCAATGCTCAATTCACGGTTTATTCTTATCGTACCATTCCTGAACGACCTCATCAATGTGCGCCCGGAACTTCTCCTGCTTCTCCGGCGGTGCAAACGACTCCACGATAACGTTGACGATACTATCAGCATCAACTAGACGGATACCGTCTTTACGGTAGCCCTCCAGATCCTCTGGTGTCGGGAAGGTATAATAATTGCTCTCCTCGGCCTTTTGCGGAACATTGGATAGCGCCTTTCCGCGGGCGATATTATCACACACATCAGCTGCCATCTTTGCCCCCAATTTATACACATCGCTCATGAAGTGCAACATCGATTTGGAATAATCAATAGGATGGTGACGAACATCGATAAGATCCCCTTCGTCCCAGTTCTCGTTGATGTCATGTAGGGAGTACCCGAAAAGGGTTTCTCTGTTCTTCATCGCGCGGACGGTAGTCATGACGCCACGGTAAGTGGGAAGGACACCTGGGTGTAGGTTGAGTAGCCTTCTTGGCCGGTCGAAGTAGCGGATGATATCTGTCTTGAACCGCTGGTAGCAGCGCAACGAGAGACCCACGTCGATATGGTGTTTTCGAAGAGTTTTGATAAAAGATGCACTGTTGACGTTGGGCACTTCCTGGACGACAATCCCATAGGCGTCCTTCATTTGCTCGACTGTCATGTGTGGTGCGCCTCCAGGTTTCTCGTTCTTAAAGTACGGGATGACGTGTTTTTGCAGTAGTTCTCGCTCGAAGAATGTCAGTTCCCGGAGATCGAAGGGCGGAGTGGTCTTGCGGTTTGCTTTGTGAGCTGGGAGGAAGATGAATGGCGTATGACCGGCGGCAAGGAGCTGGGGGACCAGTGTGCTGGCCATGAGATGCGAGAAGAGGTCGCTTCCTAGGAAGATTGCAATGTGTAGGGGACTTGCGATGGGCTCTTCCGTTACGGCATCCGCGATCCGGGCAGCATGGGCCGCCACGCGGTCGATGGCACTCACATAGAAATGGGTACCTCGGGTAAGAGATCCGATGACATGTAAGCCCTCTGATGCACGGAGGCTGTCAAATTCGACGTCTACACCGCCAGCAGAGTGAGGTTTGAGAAGCCCCTTTTCCACTGCGGACTGAATCAGGGGTGATTCGATGCGATCGAGTTGACATTCCTGTCCGGTCGCCTCAATGACATAGGGAGCTTCTAGAAGTCCGATGGAGGTCTGCGCTTTAAATATACCGTCCCATTGTACTCGGTCACCTTGAGCCACCCGTAACTGTCCTTTCTTCAAGAGACCGAGTATCTTTTCGGCATTCTGTATCGGCATTCCGTGGCGGTACCTCATCCAGGGACTGAAGAACTTGTCCATGAAAAGCTGTTGGCTTTTCGCAGGGAGACTGTTCCAGTACCGCTCGATAACTGGAGCTGTACCTCGCAGCACTTTCTGCCATTCAACGTTGCCGCTCTTTGCAGCTTGAATATCGTGCTCTAGCTGTTTAACAGGAGATTCATCATTGTGGAGCCAGGTCCAGTCGCCGTTGGTAGCATGGAAGATCTCCTCCATCAAGCTGCTCGTTACTTGCAGCAAGTTCTCATCAGAATTCTCTTCAATATTCTTTGCAAGGTCATGCAAGGCATAGCGTCGAGGGAATGGCGTCGATTCTCCCTGAACTTTGGGTAGACTGCCGCTGCGCGACATAAAGGTAATAGGCCCCTGATGTCCATGTTCCGAGAGGAAAATAGCTGCATCTACAGCCGACAGTCGTGAACCGACAACGAGGACAGAGGCGTCAGTCGGGATTGTCTTGAGCTGCGATGTCGGCCACGGGCCGGGGAAGAACCCGGGCAGATTGACGAGATGCGTGTTGCACACCGAGGTAAAGTTCCCCAGCGCCAAGACGACAGATTTCGCCGTCAATTGGGTGCCATTACGGAGACTCAAAGCCATTGTACCGTCTGCCTGTCGATCAATGTCGTGCGCCTCTTCGTGAATCACCGAAACGCCCAGTCCGATATGTTGAGCTTCGTCCAAAGCCCGTCCCCACGTCTCCTGGAGATATTGGCCATATCTCGCCCGAGACGGGAAGGGCCCACTTTCTCGGTCCGTGCGCCACTCAGTAAAATCGAGGGGTTTATCATGATACAATCCCATCGTGTCCGTATGCATGTTGAGGATGGTACCTTCGCACTGCGACGAGTATGGCAGGCCAGGTCCGGGAAGGCCATTCTTTTCCACAAAGATGACTTCTCCTAGGGGTTTCCCGTTCTTGACTCGTTCAATCAACTGAAGAAGAATTGCAACTCCACTCGCACCGCTTCCCACCACAATGAGGTCATTGGAGGGAGGGGAGGGAGTAGAAAGGTGGGATGCTGCTGAACCCATGCTAAAAGGTGTTGAGCTCTTGTGGTGAAGGCACCATTGATGTGGGATCTGATATCAGCAGGAGACCACCCGTTTATATGTCCTTGTGGGGGACAAAACACTTATGCATTTCGCAGAATGAGGGACAATTGGGGAAAGAGACACGAGTGCATTACGGCCAAGGGAGGGGTTGTGTCGCGAACATGCCAGGGTCTACTCCGTGTAGATGATGCCAAGAATCCAGCGGGGATTCGGACTCCTCAAGCCATCAGCGGGATAGACGATGAGCCATCACTGTAACCGTTGGCGTCAGCATTGCTGCCGCGTGCTGCTCTGACTTGGTTTCAGTCAAGAAACGAGGCGCTGAGGGAGGGGAGGATCAGTGGATCAGTTCTACGTGGACGAAGGTCCCGCTTTTGCGATATTTAGCTCGTCAGCTCCATTATTCCAGAAATACACGCACGTTTTAGACGGTTATACACGGAGTCCGAAAGCGGGGATGTTCGATATACCAATAGATCCATATCGATGCTCTGACATCTGGTGGCTGATCACTCATGATTCAGGATATGGGGTGCGTTCGGCATGATTCTGCTCCCGGCGCAGGGTCTAGACGGTTGAAGACTCACATCAAGGTGTCCAAAGTTGAGGGGAGTACGCGTACTCCATGACACTGGGAGCTTACAGTGTAGACTATGATATTTTAAGGACTGGCTAGACCGCGGAAGTCTACCGTGCCTGTTTCCGCTTACACTGGAATTGACATCCATCGCATTCTCGATCCGACAAGGTGTACCACAATCCTCATAATGGCTCCACGCGTTGGTGAAACTATTCAGCCGGATGATCTAGCCAAAAAGGCACACCACCAGATCTCTGAAATGCTGAAAGATTCCTCAAAGCGACTCTTCCTTATGGGCGTCTTGGCCAGCGATGATGCTGGGTCTAACCAGTATGCAAACTGGACTCGCAAAACCTCTCAAGAAATGTAAGCTTGACAGAATAAGCCAAGAAGGATCTCAACCCATGTCACTGATACGCATGCTTAGCGGAGTGGATTTCCACCTGATGAAGTTGTCACCCGAAAATGTGGCAACCTATATTCGGGCGATCAACGCCAATAACAGCGTCCATGGCATCATCGTGTACTACCCGATTTTCGGTGACAAGAGAGACGACGAGATCCGACAGCTTGTCGCACCTAGCAAGGACGTCGAAGGACTCAACCATCAGAACTTGCCCCGGTTCTCCGACGTTGCAGAAGTGTCCAGACCACCACCAAAACAAGGACGAAGCATTATCCCCTGCACGCCAAGGGCGGTTATGTGGATCCTGGAGTGGATGGACGTGCATGATCGGACACGGCCCGCGGGGGAGCGACTGCAGAACCAGGAGATCTGCATCATTAACCGGTCTGATGTAGTGGGATTGCCCCTCGCTCAGTTACTCGCGGGGGAGGGTGCTCGCGTCTACAGTGTGGACATCTCCGGTGTCCAACTCTTCCAACGCCTGTACTATCCATGGCACTCCGAAGGACTGCACGGAAAAGATCTTCCCAACTGGAGTGTGCGGGACGCCGTGCAGCGGTCTCGAGTGGTCATCTCGGCTGTTCCAGATCCCGCGTTCAAGGTGAATACGAAGTGGCTTCAGCGCGGCGCCATCTGTGTCAATGTTTCTTCGGAGAAGGTACGTGTCTTGCACTATGGGGTTCGCCCGAACCAGGTCTTGAACAGGTCCCGCTAACCATAATGGACAGAATTTCGAGCCTAATGTGGTAGAGGTGGCGTCCAAGTTTGTCCCCCGCGTTGGCAGTGTCACAATCGGAGCTCTCTTGTACAATCTCATCCTGTGTTCGTCACGGAACTAGAGCCGTTAATGCTTAGAAGGGATCTTCCGAGCCGTATGTCCGTCACGCTCTCCGGCGGTCCGATGCAATGTCAGACTGTGGAGTCTTGTTGTGATCTGTCTCGTGCATAAGTTATAACCTATACGAAGAATATCACTGCCAAGTTTGAAAAATCTTGTCGTAGCTGTTCTTCTGGCCACAGTGGAGAACGACGATCAGCAGCCATCGCTGACCGGGAGCGGATAATCTTAATATAAATACCACAAGACTAGTCAATTGCCCCCGCAATAGTCCGCAACAACAGCGGCAAATCTAAATACAACCGGAATCTATGTACTCTTGTCAAATCCTAGCCTTCATCTGCATGCCAGTTTTCGACAATCGCGCAGTGATCAAGACGCACGCGCCCAATACAAAGGTCAAACCACCCCAGATCTGCGCTCCAATGTAACCATCCGCTCTGGCTATTAAGGCACCGCCGAGAGGGGGACCAGTCAGACAAGCGAAACTCACCACCGTAAATCCCATTCCGATGCGGACCCCAGTCTTGCTGAGATCTGGAGTCAGGCTGGACAACGTGGACGGCCACAGACCCTGCACGCCATTGGAGAACATGCCGTACAGCACGGCAAAGGCATACAATCCCCCGACCGAGTGCACGGCCGCCCAACAGAACATCATCAGACTGGCACCCAGCGCCAGCGGGATAATAGTATTGAGGGGTCCAAAGTAGCGATCTGCCAAAAACGCAGGGATAAGACGACCCACAATACCGACGCCATTGGTAACGATAATGAGATTAGTCGAATCCGAGTACGACAGCCCAATAACTGAGCGACCGAATGCCCCAATGTAGTAAAACGCAAAATACAAGCCCCAGAAATTCAAAAACATGCCGACGCAAAAGAGCACGTAGGCCGGTTCCCTGAAAGCCGACCACTCGACGAAGGGGCCGGACCTCCGCGGAGGCAGCCGGGGTTTGAGCAAGGCTATAGCGGGGATACTAGTACCGAGCATGACGAAGCCCAGGACGCGGAGGGTCCAGGCGAACCCGATAGCAGGCATGAGGGCTTTGACGAGGCCGGGGAAGAGCATACCTCCGGTTCCACTTCCGACGAGACCAAATGCCAAGGCGAAGACCCTGCGCTTGGCGAAGTAGGTCGCGACCAATCCCATTACAGGGCAGAACTGCAGTCCACTGCCCAGGCCGGTGCAAATACCTTGAGCTAGGAAAAGCTGCCAATAGCGGGTCGCGAGCGAGGTCATGAAGACCCCCAGTAGCTGCAGGAGGACCCCTGTGTAGTAGACCGGGCGGAAGAACCCGGCGTCTAGTGCTCGGCCTGAGAACGTGCCGATGAAGAAGATCAGGAAGATTTGGACGGATCCGACCCATGAAATTGCTGACGAGGATACACCTAAGCTGCTCTGGTAGTACGCTTGGAAGACCCCGAAGCTAGCGATGTATCCCCATGTGTTGAAGCACACCATGTGTCCCATCACTGCCTGGGTCCAGGCATTGAGTCCCCCGTCGGGTGGGGGCTCAATTGGCGTGGGGGATGGGTCATTCGTGGTCTGGGCTGTTTCATCGCGTGCGCCCATTATGCTGCAGAAGGGGTGGCAAATAGGCTAAATTGCAAAAACCGGCTAAAAAAGCCTTTTAGAAACAGCAACTCTGGCGCGTATTTTCAGTCAAGTGGTGGCTGACGCGGTAGCAAGGGTTCAATTCAATGGCGATGGAAAGGAATGTCCATCGAATAAGGGCAACGGGTTTATGTTATGTGATGAAAAATATTAGCGGCCCGTTGACTCATTGCCCTAATCGCGGAACTCCAACTCGACCCCTGTCGCAGGGACGAGTATAATCCGGGTCAATATCAGTTTGGAGTCATGGATTTCAGCCCAGTTTCTTGGTCTCAGCCAAGCAACGGCTGATCGTCTCTCCCCAAAACCCTACATTCTTCATTTCCATTACATACACGAAATGGTTGATTGAGTGCCGATCGCGCAATACCCTTACTTCTATTGCCCATCGGGATATCTGTAGCTAGATTATGATCTGCCAGTTACAGATTTTTATTTTAATTTCCTTTTGCTGTTGAGTTTCTGCCTTAACCGCCTTACGTTGCATCGCATCTGCATGTAAAATGTTGATCGGTCTTTTAGGGCTTCTCGGGAAACTGCTAAATACAATAAGGGCAAGATTCCGGTTTGTGGTTTTTTGGTGTAATGCTTTTTCTTTTATCTAGCCTTCCCTCTCTTTCTTATTTTTCCTTTCTTTTATATTTTTCTCTTTAGAGACATTGGTGGCGTTCGAACATGTTGGGAATTAGCAAGGGATCCTTATCCCCGCGGAGCTCCGCGGGGATAAGAAAAAAAAGATGAGAGTAAAGAACGTTGTAGGTGACAGTTCATGATATATCTTGTTACTGTGATAACGTCCAAATATAAAAACATATTCGAAAATTTTATCTTTACCTATATCCAGCATATACAGAGCAGGGAAATGCAACACTTGGATCATTTTCGCTGCCCCCACATACCTTTTCCTTTCAGCGGAGTTCATGTTGGTCTTAATTTTGACCTAAATCTATGTGCATACAATACTAATAGCATAATTGGGGGATTGCTTCGGTCGTTCTCGGTATGATTAGCATGAAGGTGTTCTTATAGCAGACTATCTACATGCAAAGCAGGACACGATCATTGAGGTTTCGAGTTCAATGAAGGTTCATAGGTGTCGACTTAAATTTTGGGTTATTCTGTTCTATTTAGTCTACACTGACCTCTTTCTATGCTCTTCCTAGATTGTCTATAAAGTATCTGTTCCTCTCGTGTTGCCTCTCAGTCACTAACCGCCATAACACCGAAGAAAATCGAAAACCACAAACACTTACACTAGACTAGAAAGACACATGTAACATCTAGACTGTTATTATGATGAATAATACCATTAAAGTGGTTGTTCACAGCCACGTGCCTACATGACCTCATAACAATATCATCCCGCAACAATCACCACCCATAACCCTAACTCAAACACCACACCTGATTCTAACCCACCATGCCCCCCAAAAAAGAAATCCAAGCCACCGAACTCGACATCAATCTCTCCTCAAGAACCGAAACAGAGTACTTCAAATGGTTCCTCGCATGTCTCCTATTCGGCAAGCCGGTCCAGCAAGGCGTTGCCAAGCGAGCCTTCCTCGAGCTCGTACAGGAAGGCATCACTTCACCGGATGCTATCCTGGCCGCAGGATGGGATAGACTAGTTGAGATCTTGGATGAAGGTCATTACGTTCGGTATGACTTTTCGACTGCGACGAAGTTGCTTGATGTGGCGGGGGCTATTAAGGAGGAGTATGGCACTTTTGGGGAAATGTTGAAAAGGTTCCGCAGTGTTGAAGAATTGGAGGTGCACTTGCAGGAGTTTAAGGGAGTTGGACCGAAGACGGTGGAGATCTTTATGAGGGATATGAGGCCTTTACTTGAGTAGGTTCTTTTGTAAGTATATCTTTGGAGTTGGGTGTTTGGTCTTGGGATTAGTCTCGTGGGTAGGATATGTTATTATTTTAAGTCACGATGAGTACTACGGGCTGAGATTGGCTTCGACGGGAAGTGGATACTTGTACGAAGTATGCAGCATACGTTTGTCGAATGTTACTTTTCAGTTTCTAATAGTATAGGAGGAATTATTTGTGATACCGCAACTAGGCTATCTGTGTTCGAGAGGAATGTGCCATTATTACTATGAGTAAGGAATAAATACATTTCGATATGCTCATCCGATACTCCGTAGTAATGGTAGCATGCGTGTGCCCCACCGATACAAAAATAAAAGAATCAAAAAAACGTCAGCGACAGGATTTGAACCTGTGCGGGCGAACCCAATAGATTTCTAGTCTATCGCCTTAACCACTCGGCCACACTGACTATTGTTATCTTTTTGATTATCATTTAGCTTTATAAGCCTAAACCAGCGTGATAAAGTTATAGATGATCTAAAAACATATATAATTCCTTATATAAGGCCATGCGAGGGCGAATATGATTTATATGAAAAGTTATGTCATAATATCAACACACCAAACCTACCAAGCAATATGAGAAAGTACCTTCAGAAGATCACTCGACACACCCATAGCAGTCACATCCCCACCAGCACCCGCACCCTGAACAATGAGTGGATGCTCGCCGTATCGCTTCGTATAAAAGCTAATAATATTATCGCTTCCCTGTAGTGCAGCGATAGGATGCGTTTTCTCAAACGACTCTATTCCCACTTTAACCTCCCGAGAGGCCATATCGATGCTTCCAACAAACCGCACAAACTTGCCCTCCTTTTCGGCCGCCGCCTTGTGCTCTTCCATCTGCTGGTCGAATTCCGGGAGACGGTCAAGGAATTCACCTCCACTTGACACGCCTTGCAACTCCTGAGGGATTAAGCTCTGAACAGCGAAGCAGGTCGGTGATTCAATAGGTAGACCCGCCAGTCGACCGAGAATAGTGAGCTTGCGAGCGACGTCGAGGCCGTTCAGATCGTCACGCGGGTCGGGCTCTGTATAGCCCAGCTGTTTGGCTTTTCGGACGGCGACAGACCATTTCTCGCCTTGGCCCTCTGTTGGTGCGAGTGAGTTGAAGAGGAAGGACATCGTGCCGCTAAAGACACCTTGAATTCTAGTAATCTCATCGCCAGTAATGATAATGTCCTTCAGAGTCGAAATAATCGGCAAGCCAGCACCAACAGAGGATTCGTGGAAAACGTACGAGTGTCCGGCGGCCGCAGAGCTGAAAATATCTTCCCATAATTGGTAACTCCCTGAAAAGGCCTTCTTATTAGGAGTGATGATGCTGATTCCGCGACGTAAAAATTGTGGATAGGCTTCTGCGAGACTGTTGGCGCTGGTGTTGTCGATGAGAATCACCTTGGATGGGGCGCCGGAGAGATAGTCAACGATCCAGGGGATCGTGGGTGGTGCCTGACCCTGGGCTTCGAGTGTGTCGAGGGCTGTGTCAATGTTGATCTCTGAGTAATCGGGGTCGTGGAGGGCCTTGTCGATGATTGCGATGTAGCATAGGCGAAGACGGGGGGACGGTCGTGTCTTGTTTAAGTATGATAGTTGCTTCAGGAAACAGGAGCCAACTCCGCCGGCACCTGTTGTTTATTAGTAGTCAGCTACGGAGTTGGTGGGTGACGAATTACTGTCATAAAGGATGGGGTAGTTACTAGTGCTCACCTATAACGGCTATGCAGACTTCCTCCGGAGTGGTAGCCATGATATTTATTCTGTGTAGGGTTATGCGATGAGCCTGGTATATTTGGTAATAGCTTTTGTTGTGAAGTTTAAGGGGTGGAAGTAGGCAACATTATCGGAGCATTATATATTCGCTCAAACGGCGTATATGCGAAACTTGAAGCGAGCATCTCCAGACACTTTCGAAGAACTTCGCCATCACCGAAACAAGAGCCCTAGTTACATGACAAATGTTTTCCCCAGCAGGAGACTTACCTAATATAACGCTGATTAACAAAGGCGAATTGCTAGAATGACCCTCCCTTGGCCATGGCAGGTGGAAGTTTTTGCGTTGACATAATTGTTCGATGACGAGAGAGTCAAACTAGGGTTGGTCACACATGGGACCGGACCCACCAGCCATGTCCTCAAAGCTTTGGCATTGTTGATAGTTGAGCAGAGAAACAGATAGTCGTAGTAAGGAGCTCGAACATTATGATGGCATTTAGGATATAAAGCCTGCCAGAACTCCCACAAGTATGCCTCTGTGACTATCGCAACAGCATCGTCTGGGGAGTCTACTATCATTAAACATGTCACCAAGACCATTTACCGTTCGTATTCGAATTCATGAGTATCTTGATACATTATGTTGACTTTTTACCAGTTGAATGATCCCTCCTTGCTCCATGAGGCCTCGTTGCTGAATGGTGAATGGGTTGCGGCCCAATCTAACAAAAGGTTTGACATCGAGGGTGAGCCTACCACTCCATCAGGGTTATGCTGGTTGTTTGCTAACCCACACTGCCCACTCTTACAGACCCCGGCTCCAGACACGTTTTCGCGACCTGCCCGACAAACGGCCCAGAAGATGTGGACAAATACGTCGAGACCTCGCATGCGGCCTTCGAACGCTATCGCCACCTCAACCCACGCGAACGAGCCAAGTTTCTTCTGAAATGGCATGAGCTGATTACAAATGCTCGAGAAGATATTGCTACAATCGTGGTCTATGAAACCGGAAAGCCCATGGCCGAAGCCATAGGCGAGGTGGACTATGCACTAGGGTTTGCCTGGTGGTTCGCTGGAGAGGCCGAGAGAGTTCGCGGTTCGATCGCATTGTCCTCAGTCTCCAACCGTCGCACATTTGTCATAAAGCAGCCCATTGGCGTGAGTGTGGCTCTGGTCCCATGGAACTTCCCGGTTGCGATGATCGTTCGCAAAGTGGCAGCCGCCTTGGCGGCGGGATGCACTATGATTATCAAACCATCCCCAGAGACTCCCCTGAGTGTGATGGCCCTGGCAGATCTTGCTCTTCGCGCAGGTTTATCACCAGGTGTTCTCAATGTTATCACAACCGACAACGAATACACACCATCAGTCAGTGAAAGACTTTGTAAGCATCCATTAGTGCGCAAGGTCACTTTCACGGGCAGTACAAGGGTGGGAAGCATTATCGCAAGGCATTGCAGCGACGGACTGAAGAAGGTTACTATGGAACTAGGTGGAAATTGCCCGTTTATTGTCTTTGATGACGGAGACTTGGAACAAGCAGTGGCCGCCCTAATGATCCTCAAGTGGCGTACCGCCGGCCAAGCCTGTACCCATGCCAATCGCGTTTATGTCCAAACGGGTGTCTACGATAAGTTTGCGCAGATGATTTTAGGAGCGACCCAGAAACTCAAGGTCGGGCACGGAACTGATTCAGGTACCACCATGGGACCACTTACGACCGACCGTGGTGTTGAGAAGGTGAAGAGCCTTGTGTCAGATGCGATCAGCAAGGGCGGCAAAATTCTCTGCGGTGGAAAACAACCAAATGGCCCTCAAGGCTATTTCTTCGAACCCACGATCATCACCAATATGAACCCTGAGATGCTGGCTTCTCGCGAAGAAATTTTCGGGCCTTTGCTGGGTTTGCACAGGTTTGAGACTGAGGAGGAAGCTGTCAAGATGGCAAATGACACATCTATGGGTTTGGCTTCGTACTTCTTTACCAAGAACGTTGACCGGACCTGGAGGCTTCTTGAAAATCTTGAGGCAGGCATGATTGGCATGAACACCGGTAAGTTGTGCTTCGTTTGTTGGCTGGGGATGATTTAAGCGCTGACAACGTGGCCAGGAAACTCTTCATGTGCGGAGTCTCCTTTCGGTGGTATCAAGGAATCTGGATACGGCAAGGAGGCAGGTAAAGACGTCGCCATCGAAGAGTATTTGATCTCTAAAACAGGCACGCTTACTGTGGAGAGTGCGCCAGGACTCTAGGGTTATCCGTCTATAGCTTGTCTCCCATGAGTCTTTTGCTTTTATTTGGGGGAGACCTGTTAAGTGATTTTAGATGGCGAGATGCATCACATTAGCGATTTGGATTTATGTGATGATGTTCTCTGAAAACCATGGAGAGAGTATTGTAGATGAAGAATAATTCTGGTCAACCGCCAACTTTTCTATAAGACCACAATTATCGACTAATCTAGTCTTAGTTTAGCGAGGAGGATTTCCGTCCAAGAAAAAATGCCAAAGCCTATCAATATTGCCGAAGCTGTCCAAACCCGATCAATATCGGGAATACGAGCCCTAGTTTTAAACAATCCCCACTTGTTCTGATCAACAGATCCTCCATGACTCTTTGTGCGCAAGCCAATTACACATGACTAAATTCTGCTTGAGAAGGTTTGATAGCCATGAGTCCGAGTAGGTCTACCCGCGAAAGTAGCAAGAGAAAGCTAGATAGCACGGATGACGACCAGGAGAAACGGTACGTTTGTACCACAGTCATGACTCTGTGCAACCGCTGAATAGACATTTTGTAGGAAACTCCGGAATCGCCTGGCTCAACGGGCATTTCGTCGTCGACAGGCAGAGTATCTGAGAAACCTCCGGGATCGTGCCGACTCAGGGGATCGACCGCAGAATGAGATTATCCATGCGCTATGGGAGGAGAACGCACGTCTGCGAAGACAGCTTATTGATGTTCAGTCGAAGCTATCTAGGGTTATCACGACGATGCAAGCTCTCACCGGTTCCGTGTCATCCGTGCTTGATAAACCATCACAGGTCGCATCTACCGACAAGGTGGAGGTGACTGACTCGGTTTCGTCGGGGCAACAAACTCCTAAAGACATAGATGTGGATATCATAGCCGATGATGATTCTGCATTGGACACAGCTTGCACTCACACTGTTTCGATACATGATCAATCGTCGGGTTTAGATGATTCCGTAGACATCATGCCTCAGCCTCTCGATGAAGGTCTAGCGGGATGTGGTAACTCATTTCCAGAGTTCGATCATGATATCCTTGCCTTGGGGAGTCTTTCACCACATGCAAATAGTTTGGGCCACGAGCTACCGAATATTTGGTCTTTTGAGTATCAAATGGGCTTGCAGCCGTATGCGAATGCTTTCTCCTGCAGCCAACAATTCAGTGTCACACTCGGCAAAGATTGGATCGAATCCAATTCTCCATTCTCGGATCACATTCAAGTACTTCAGCAATTACTGAAAAGCAAATTGGACTTCATTAGGCCGTTATTCGAACCTTCGCCACAACTGTGGGTTGCTTCAAAGTGCATATTCTCTTGTGCATATTGCTGATCGTGCTATGGTGTGCAGTCTCTACCAACAAGTCCTCATGGTACTTTCCCTGTTCAACAGTATAACTCGACCGGATGTTATGGCGTGGTATGCAAAAACGCGCTTCTACCACATTGTCGACTTGACAGCATGGCAGATCTATCCCTGCACCAGAACTTTAAGTAAGGTACACGAGCAATACAGACCTACGGAAGTACAGTTGCAACAACAATACCCCCGGGTCATTGACTGGATACCATTCCCCTCGATCCGAAACCGACTCATCCGACTGCACGCAGCCAATCCCCAGATCGACCAAATATTTTGCGACACCGTCAGCAGCTATGTCATCGAGGCAAACATGGCCGATCTTATCATGGGCGCTCCCGCTGTCACGGCCTACATCCGGGTAACCGATGTGATCGCGAACATCCCCTCCACGACACCAGGAAGCGAGTCGCAGCCTTCTGCCGTGCTTCCTGCCCCGGATGCCGCTACACTTTTCTCATCTTCGGAATACGCGAGAGCAGTCTTCAAGAAATTGGATATCGATTGTGGAATATCACATTACAAAATGGATCCTGCTTTCTTCGGTACGTATCCAGAACTCTATGACCCAAGCGTTGATATTGCAGCAAGGGGAATCCCGCTCAGACCGGACGTCCAATTGCGCTTGACGTATCCCAAGCCTCTCGACTCTTCAATGTTTCAAACCTATCGCAGTTTCATGGACTTTTCTCTATATTCTCCGTTGAGTGTGGCGCAGGTTTTCAGGTGATGATACTCGTGGTGTTTACAGCGAGGTTCAAGATATTCGTTGCTTTGTGTTCATCCGAAGAGCACTTGAGCACTGTTAACAAGTAAAATATTCCGCATTTTGGGAAGCCCATGACGGGATGGGATAGGCCGCCGCAATGCTGTTAGGACTGCTGAATGATATTAGACGAAGTCCGATGCATACAACAGCGCCATATTTGGCATGAGATCGTGTGGTGATAGAAATGAACGCGGCCAGCTTTCACACACCAGACACTCTGGAAGTTAGTGGTACTAGCGAGGAAGAGTCCCCAAATGCTTCTTAGATGTTAATGGGTGTGGGAAAGTTGGAGAAAGTTAGCACTGATGGCTGCTCGGATGGATATTGTCAATGTCACCCAGCTGGCTTGCGATGAACAGCGAAAGGTGGTTAAGAATGTTTTATTGCAAACTCTAAGTTACGCAAAACGATGGTTCATAGATACTAGCGATATATCAGACTGGCCGGCAGTGGGGGTCTGGAGTTTAATATAAAGCAAGTCTACGTGTTACGTATAGTCCGGACCAGTTAATGAAGCCTATGGGTGACTACTCCGACAAAAGTAAGTAACAGTAGCTTCTTGTTTACAGGAAATGGTAGAGCCAGGGATAAGCTTATTTGCTAATTCAGACTCATACCACGGTGCATATCTGAACGGATCCCGGTTTGTGGGCGAATATGACGACAGATAACTATAATAGGAAATAGCTGGAATATACCTCTTTATTTATAAATCCTATATTCTCCTTACTAGTACGTTAAGTATGAAAAAGGTCTCTATATAAAAGGCCTGGATAATTTAGATCGTAGAACGGTATAGATATATGAAGGTGGTAGCCTGCAGTCAGGAATCATGCCAGTTTGACAAATGCATATCCCCACGCTGTTTACTCGTGCTACACAACCCTATTCACTACAATACGTTATCACCAGAAGCCACAGCATTAGATAAAGCAAGCTAGTCATGGCCATCAACGAGCTGATTCACCGGCTTGAATAGACGTCAGCCGAACTCTTTACTGAACCGTTCATCTTTAGAAAGGCTGTGTTCTTGGCCGCAGACGAGGAAAAGAGTGAAAAGCTATCTACATACCAGGCCCAGCTTGCTGATGAGGGCTACACAACTGTCATTGTCAGCCATGCTACGGAGATCGTCCCCTTGTTAACGCCCGACACGAGTGTTGTCCACATCTCACACGTGGCCAGGGAGAAGAGCGACGTCTACGAAGCAGTGACGAGGTCGACCACCAGTTTAATTGCTGCGGCACAGGAATTGTACCATCATAGCCAAGTCAGAAATCATCATGCAATGTAGATGAATACATCCGCCCCACGTTACGCTAATCTCTGCACTGTTTGCGCACTCACACGAAATATTGATGTAAGTGCACCGATCTCTTCAAACGTTTTTCTCCTTACAGCAGCGAAATAGTGGCCAGAGCCTTGATCTGTGAAGTCTGCTTAGAATATGAGTATGACTCTTATGTAGTGGGAAAGATCTGGATTATACTCTCCCCTGGTTCCATCTTCTCGGTATAGACTATAGGGTGGGTCTACCAAAACCAGAAAAGCCATATAGAGACCGAGACCTGTTGCATCTATATGGAATATGTATTATACTCTCTGCTTGTAGTGTTTAAGGACGATCTCATAGTTTCGGTTCATATTTCATTACATTGCGGTCAATGTGCAACGAAACTCTCTCAATCAGCCTGTCCACCGTAGAACCGCCAGCCCTTGGAATCGTAGCCGGTTATGGAGTGGATGGCCGCCTACCCAGCTGAAGGATCTTCAGCCTCTAGAAGCAGGGCTAAATTACTAGGCAGTACAGATGCTCATCCTTTCTACTCAAAGAGTAGTGGTAGTGGGAAAGAAAAGTGGATCCTAAGGCAAACTAAATCGAGGTTCCAGAAAATGTAGCCCAAATATTACCAAACTTACCAATACCAACGCACTACAGAGTATATACTAGCTGATTAGATCTAGTTAAATGTCCCGAACCTCGATTTAGTCCGCCCTACCGTCCATTTTGCGTCACACCGCTTCTTAGATGGGGCTTGAGATGTAGAAATAGTATCCATTCTCCTAGCCGAAGGGGAGAACGCAGCTGAAATCTGGAGCTAATGCATGTATGATCCACATGCTTTGTCGCAGACGTCCCTGCATCGGATGTGGCGTTCGGAGGATCATGGCTCATGTTCTTTAGTTCATGGTATCGTGCTTTGCAGTTATTCACCACTATAAGATACCTACAATAGTGCTTAACTGACCCTATGGCGCTCCCTGAGACGGGTGGAGTAGGGATCGGTTAAGGAGGTCAGCGCTCCACAAAAGGCACCATTGTATATACATTATGCTGGACTTAGTATTACTACGCCGAATCAGAAGCCACGCTTGCTTTCGAGTAATCTCGGCGGAGGAAGTATATATTAGATCATCCTCGTACTTCCTTCCTCAGTCCGCAGAGGAGCTTTTTTGCATTTAGAGCAGTCTCTTTAACGTATTCCCGGTTTTGATTTGCGTCAAAAGTTTTCTTTGTCTAACATTAAGTTGCTTACCTCCATCCATCATATATTCTCTAGTTTTCAAACGTTAACGCTCCTTCAATTGCGTGATCATGCCATCCACCACGACATGGGATACTATTAGCGCCTTCGAGGTGCCCGAACACTTTAGTCGGTTCCCAGCTGGCATTGCTCGCAATTCCCCTGAGGTGGTCGATGCCCTTAACAAAGTAATTGACGCATCTTGCGCTCAAGGTTCGAAAGAGGAGAAAAAAGCGAGAACCCGCCATTTAACTGCCGGTAATGAGCCTTTTGCAATCTGTCACTGCACTGCATTTCCAGACCGATTAGTTGTACTTTCCTCCATCATCGAGTTGGCATGGATCAACGACGGTAAGCACCCGTGATCGAATAATCACTTCCGCCCAGGATGAAAGGCTAAACCGCGGGGAGTAGATGTCACCGAGGAACTGGAGCATAAAGAAGCCTGCATCAAGCATGATATCCTCATCGATGCTATGGACCCTGAGAAGCTTGCGAATGCACCGGCTGGAACGTTCAACGCCTTAGAAACACTATTTGGCTTGCACGTACAAAAGGCCAGCGCGATGGACCCTGATGCCGCAGAAAAAATGGTTGAGGTGCTCACGAACTATTTGAAAACATTCGATAGTAGTGACGAAGAATTCGTCTCTATGGAGAAATACAACCCGTATCGGGTAGCGAACAGCGGATATTGGTAAGTAAAAACATCGTGGGTGTTTGGTTCCCCCCTTGCCTGAACCCTACTAAACCGTACATGACACAGGATCTCATCTTATTTCATTCGCTGGGGTATGGGATTGGTTCTCAGCGATGTGGAGTATGAATTGCTTCGCGACTTCGACTTCAGCCTGGGCGTCATCCTGGGACTGACCAATGACTACTTCAGCTGGAATGTGGAGAAGGATCAGAAGACGGATCGAGTGCGCAACGCTGTTAAGGTGCTAATGAATGAGTACAATGTTTCCGACACCGTTGCAAAGCCTTTACTGAAAGGTATCATTATCGATGAAGAAGAGAAGGCCTGCCGGTTGAAGCAGAAATTGCTAGAAACCCCCGACGGCCTGTCCCCAGCGGTTCTACAGTATATTGAAGCCATTGAATTATACGTAGGAGGCAGTTGCTATTGGCATGCAACTGCCCCACGTTATAAGATTTAGTCAATCGATGCGAGGATTTCATTTCTTTTCATTTTTGCTGGTGTTATAGTATGTTGGTCGGCTGGACAATCACGAAATAGTTTCAAACTTTGAGACCTGGATCTGCGCTCGAAAGATAGAAGTAGGCCTATACTTTACTTTAATTTTATTTTATGTTTTTTTTTTGGTGATTGGAACAGATTGAGGAGAATGTGATTGGTGGAAACTTTAGGTACTAGAAAATACCCACAAAGGCTGCAAGACCCGCAATTCAGCTGGCAAGATTGGCGCTAAGGAGCACGATCTGTACTAAACCCACTTCGCGTAAAGTCTGAAGAAGGAAAGCCAGTATGCAATTTGACCAAGATAAGTCCCTCCTGCAAGTGGCTAGCTAATCTGTGGAGTAGTTGTTTCAGTGAAGAGGTACTCGAGATTTCTCGGAAAAAGTATCACAAGCAGCCACTCCTTTGCTGCTTCCTCGCCCTAAATCTGCTCGGCTTTGAGCCGCTTCCTCAGACTTTTGCCGAGATCAGCGGTAAAATCACAGTCCTCATACTCCGTACTTGATAGTCCCTCTCACGTGTGCCGAGGGTTTACGCCGGATAAACAATGTAGCTCGAAATATATGCCCTAATGGTTATTTTTGTACCTGGCAAAGGGCTAGGTGCACTTGGCAATAACATTCGTAATCAGAGAAGTATGTTTATATGCTCGATCCTGATGTAACATGTCAGCGAGAAGGCGTTTAAGGCAGCCCAGCTGGCGCATGGTGGGGCAGATGGATATAGTACGTATGTTGATCGATTCACGATAGCTCTGGGAGATTTACTTAAGGCCGAGAGGGCCCACAGTTCTCCTCGGTTAAAAGATCGGCGTGGTTGGGATATCGCCACAGTATTTATTATTAATTTACTAGTTGTAATTGAAGGAAGCTACGTAGTTTTCTCCTCACTGTACTAAGCCTATCGAGTAGTAGTCTTCATACAAAAGTATCTTTAACTTTTGACTCTGCTCCGTATCTATTTCACCGCTGATCCACTACTGAAATAGGGATCAGCGGTACAATAGATCTAGAATCGGTTGGAAGGGGGAAATTGATTTCATTCCATAATTAGATGATTATTATTGCTAGAAGCTATCAACCTAACTCTGGGAAGAAGAAATCGGTTATGAAGAATAACAGCGCTAGGCCTAACTATGCAGCGACAATAGAATCCGATCTATAGCTTTTTATCTTTACAGAATACCGTTGAGTGTAACTATTTGGAACTCAAATCGGATGGTTTAGTATGAAACCAAAATAAGCGTCTTCGTTTCCCGCATACTAGACGTATCTGAAAGAGAACAGCAAAAGGTAATACATGCATGCATCACCACAGCAAATCCCTCACATCTCCACCACCCCGCGGAGTGGGGTTTGCAAGCCCACCATCGTTTATAGAATTTTACCCCCTAGACAGGTTCCGTATCCTCACATGTGCCGGTGCACCGTCTTTGGGATGCGCAGTTGCCTTCCCAGCGGTGTACATCCGCTCGCCTTCGACCATTTGCTTGTCGAATTTGATCCCCTGCTCTTCTCGGAGCCGGTCCCACTCTTCCCAGGCCATCTCAACGTCAAGATCACGGGCAACAGCAACCAGCACTAACTTGAGCACGACAATAGCTAATTCTTGTCCAAGGCATCTCCTAGGACCAAGTTGGAACCCCCGCCACATGTCCTTCGCCGGATGCAATACATCCCCTTCAGGGACCAGGTACCGCTCCGGGATAAATTCCGAGGGCTCATGGAAATTGGCAGGGTCGTTATGTATGGTTATAGAGCTGTCAAAAAGATCGAATCCGTCTGTCGGCCAGACGGTGTTGGAGTCTTTTATGTAAAAGTTAAAGTCTGGCTGTCCTGCCCTGATCGTAATGGTAGCGGGGTTGATGCGTAGCGTCTCCTTGATGACACTGAGGGTGTATTTCAGCGAGTCCAGGATGTAGGGCTCGTCTCGAAGTCTCTGGGCAGCGGCGCTTGGATCAGGGCCAAGAATCCTATCGTGCTCAGCCCGCATTTTATCAAGGCATTCGGGGTGCAGTTGGAGCTGCTTGAATATCCTGGGGAGTGTAATGGAGATTGCATCATCACCCCCGAAGAATGTGGCCATCAGATGGTAGAACACATGCTTGACCAGGGATTCCTCCAGGGGACCGTTGTTGTTTTCTCCTCTGATCCGGTTCAGGTCCTCCGCTGCGGCTTGCACGATGGTTTGGCGGCCTTTGCTAGCCGCACCTAGGTTTTCCAGAATGGATGGTCGAAGGATTTCGAAGAGCTCGTCTCGCTTGCGGCTCACAAGCAGCTTGAACAATGGTGTTACTCTCCAGAGAAGCTTGCGGGGACTGAAAGTAATTTCCATCCGTTCGAGTTGTTCTCGATAAGCAACGGTAAACCGAGATGGATACAGTGACTGAGTGTTCAGCCGTTCGTCACTGAAAGCTATTAATCTGAGGAACGGGGGCTTCACATTTTAGAATCGCTTCACTCACAGAAGAATTCTCCCTGTAACATCGAATGCCAAGTTACTGGATATTTGCTCCAGCGGAAACACCTGGCCCCAATCTCCGTTGCCGCCGGAAAGATTCCTTAACATGTTCGCGAATGCATCAACCTCCTCCAGAATGGCAGGTACCCAGGCTCTGATATTCGCTCGACTAAATCCGCGGTTGAACATCGAGCGCCACATACGCCATTCGTCGCCATGCATACAGATGAGGTCTTTTCCGTTCGAAATTGGTCCAAGGAACTCACCATGCATAGGCGATTTAGGCAAGCTGGTCCCAATTGACATCTGATTGGATACGTACGCCTCCATAGAGAATGCCATTGGCCTGGACATAGGCCAAATATCGACGTATATGACGGGCGGACATCTCTCTTCATTTGGGAAGAACTTTTTCCAGTATTTGCTAATATAGTAGCCAAAGGTTTGAACAAAGTTCGCATCGAATGCCCAATCTCGGTAAAATTGGAGGACAACAGGAAGATGGCCAAAAACTAGAGAATGAGGCATTATTGGCTATCTCATGTTATATCATGGTTACTCGCGTCGAACTTGTAAGAAACATACAATGCCTTGAGACTTAAGCCTCCTGAACTTCATTCGGGCTTGGTATAACTTGATCATAAACAGCGGCAACCACACTGCCAGGATCGTAGCGGCCAGCCATACGAGATTGAACCAATTACTGCCATTTTGCAGTTCGGCCAATGCATCAAGCATGGCAGATCTTCCTAAGAAGGGATCGATCCGTACGGCAGTCAAGCTGGAATTCATAATCAAGTTCAGTGGGAAAAAAAGAACGTAGCTGGACCTAAATATGACCACCTCACGAATATATACCCTGTACACATGCGTAAATAGACTAAAAGGAAAAAGAAAAAGCTGAGAATAAAAAGAAAATAAAAAATAAATAATAAAAAAAAACCAAAATTGACCAAATTGATTAGGACCAGCCCCATTATAGAAACTTTCTCGATCTCCACAAGGCATGTTATGCGATCGAATCCCCATCTTCTGTGCCCCGCATAGACAATTCTAGGTTACATTAACGTATCATTACCATTTTAACAAAGACGGTGAATGCATACATTGCACCTAGACCCAAATACATTTCATTTCGGGGAGGATTGGTGGCTTCTGTTGTAGCTAGAATGAAATGGACTTGTTCGCGAAAATGGCTGGCTGAGTTTGACGAAGAAGACCCAAAGGCTTCGAGCCCATTGGCTGTACGTAACGAACCCATTTAAATTTGTAATTGTCAGTCATTATTGCGCCGCAGCAGGCACCCGATACTCTTGTCGTCTAATGTCTGCCTCGCTTAGGGCTACATAGGTTCTACGGAACAGATATCCGTGTCAGCTGGATTTGTGGCAAACGGAAAAGCGGCTCATTCCGTGCATTTATGCTGCTTGCTTCAAGTCGATCTGCACCTGAGAAAACCCAGCGCAATGACCGAGACCATACCGTGCCCCGTGCGTCAACTTCTAACCTGCGTGCCCATACACTGGGGAGAATGATGCCCAGGATACACCACTATCTTTTGAGTATCTCTGTGCTTCGGTGAAAAGGCGATTGGGAATCTGACCTGAAAAGTGTTTCATCTTGAATATATATGAGAGAAAACAGGATTCCGTGACGGTGGGACAAAATCTGGGATTCTACTTTGTTGTGGTTCAACTTTTGAGGTATAAAAGCATGGTGCCCGACAAAGTCGAGAACAATCATCGAGAAGTTTTCTGACTTAAACCATCGTGGAATTGGTCCTCTTGACTACAGTTTGGAAACTCATTCTTCAGAATGTTATTACCCTCATTTTTTCCCTTTTCGAGTTGCATTTCACCTCTGCATCCACGTTCTTCATATGTTCGACTATGTCATCGTCTACGGGCTTAGTTCGATTCAAGCAGTTGGGAAGGCATTGTTAGCTGATCCTTGTTTTAACGCTGGGCTGAAAGCCAGCATATGCATTTATCCCATCGACTTCGATGGCGAGCATCGGAGCAGGGACTAAGTATCAAAGCTATGGAACGCTACTCGCCAGGGCCTTTGTGCTGCTGACACAACCAAATAGCAATCGCAACCTATGAAACAAAGACAAAACAACAAGCCAAAAACTGTATTTGTAAAATTAAAGGCGCTCCGTAGCCAGTCACTCGACATTACCCAGGAAATTATTCTCTGCGCGTCTGATATCATCGGAACCGGTGGTTTGGGTACAGTACAGGGCTTAGCCAGCTGGATACAATGACCTAGCATTACATTCTCATGGATATTCAGGACCAAGCATGTCGCATGGGATCCTGAAGGAGATCCCATGGCTGCTGCCCCCAATGGGAATACCGTCCCTAACTGGAAACTTGGGTAGGCTCAGGGTTATGGTAGAGACGAGGTTCGCGAGTGTGTCAAGGCAAGTCAAACAGCCTTCCCCGAAACGAAAACTACGTGCGACGTGCTAACACGTTTTGTAATAGCTATATGAAGCGTCTCCGGATAAGTCTCAACGGGATATTCTTTCATATTTCTCGAAAGCAAGGCATAATGGCGACCGCTCAGCAGTCTCTACAGCTACAACACTAGTAGAAGATGCTACTTTATTGATATTACGTGGCAGGTATGCTTCTCTAGCATACGGTAATTATGCGAATGAAGCCTTACCGGGTGGTAAGTGATACAACAGGAAATACACTGGCAAATTCCTTCTATTTCCTAGCCATCCACGCTTCGACATACAGTGTACTACAGAAATGCCTAGGCAAGATATTTCCAAAAGGAGATAAGGAGGCCGCAATTTGCCTATGTTGTAAAGCATACGTTGAATTCAAATATCCATATTTCTTCTCCAGGCAGGGTCGGTGAGAATACAGGACACATTTCTAATGCTAGACTACAGCGGATACAGGGGAGCGAGGACAGAGCATTAATGGCATAGTACCGGCCGCATCATCCATGGAAAATCCACACATAAATCTCACATCATGGTCCCGGTAGGGCACGTAGGTAGACTTACATCTTTGAATCGGGTTCGGAGTCCGATTTTGGATAGTATTCATTGCGTCCTTAGTGTTTTAGGGGATCTTAGAAATGAGTCTGAGTGGCTACATTGATAGCTCTCTTCCTTATTCTTCGGCTAGGCCTCACAAATGGTTGGAGAGGGCCGTTACTGCAATCGCTGGTAAACTATACAACAAAGATCGATCGCAGCTCCTGATTTCAGATCAAACTAAGAGCGCCGCCCGAATTCCTTGGCGGAGTCTACGTATAATGTTATTTTTCGATTGAGCCAACAATACTTCGCACAAGCTTATTTTCAACTAGGTGATGTGGCGGTCCGCAAGCACTCTCAGTTGCGTTTTGTGAATGACTTGGATATTGATGCCACATACCTACTCTAGGTGACGATGGCAGCAATCTCAGAAACCCCTGCGTGGTCCACGGTTGCGTTTTCAACTACGTATCCTAAATCTGGAGTCCTACCGGGTTCTGAAAGTCATACGTCTCCGTGTGTATATCTCGGGATATCTCGGGGTCTGCATGTGACGGGCTAGACACAGGCAGACCGAGTCGCTTATAAATACATCTGGTATGATGGGTGGAAGTTCAGTTATAAGGCCATGTTTCCCCATGGAGCATTCCTCCCCGGCAGACAACTCGCAAAAGAACCTGTCCAGAAACCATCTCTACCCAGACTGCACAAATGAGTTCTCCGTACATCCTCCCTACGGGCGCAACAGTCCTGGTCACCGGCGCCAACGGATTTATTGCATCGCATACTGTAGACAAACTACTGGAGCAGGGCTATAAAGTCCGCGGCACAATCCGCACTCCTAAACCATGGCTGAACGAATTCTTCGACGGAAAGTACGGCAAAGGACATTTTGAGACGACGATTGTCTCCGATTTTAGCGATGTCTCGAGCGTAGACACTGCGCTGCAGGGCGTGTCGGGGGTTATCCATATGGTCGGTAGCCTCTATTGTCCACGGATTGAGTTGTTCATGTTATCCCGACTTACATACCGGTAGGCATCTGATTTGACTTTCAATTCAAACCCCGATGCGGTCATTCCTTGGGTGATCGATGCAACCCGCACAATCCTCGAGGTTGCATCGAAACATTCAACCATCCGAAGGGTCGTCCTTACATCGTCTTCGAGGGCCTGTTATACAGCTACTCGGGCTAGCACCCGCGGCGTGAAGATAGATGAGAGTAAGTATCGCTTGTAAATGTCTGTCAGAAATACGGTTGTCTGACTATTATTTAGACACCTGGAATGAGGCCGCCATAAAGGCCGCCTGGGACCCGACGACGCCTGACGAAGCAAAGGCGTACGTCGTGTATTCTGCATCCAAAGCAGAATCGGAAAGGTACGCTTGGAAATGGGTTGAAGAGAATCATCCTCATTTCGACTTCAACACGGTGCTTCCGGATCTTAACGTGAGTGTCCCACCCCCGGCCTTTTACCTACCGAAAAAAAGTAGGACGCGTCTGATGAAACGATATTGCCATACAGATGGGCAGAATCCTCCATCCAGAGATCTTCGGTTCCACCATGGGCTACACCCGCAAGCTTCTCCAGGGAGATCCTACTCCATTCAGTCTTTTCCCGCCCCGTAAGATCCATCCTTCCCTTATTTATGTTTTTTTTACGTCTCCTCTAACGCATATCTCATCGATCGTGTAGAATGGTATGTAGATGTCGAAGACGTGGCCCGTCTCCATCTCATTGCACTTCTTGGTGAGAAGGTGAAGGCTCAACGGATCTTTGCTTTTGCGGCATCGAAGAACTGGACCGACTATATTCAGATCTTGCGAAAGTTGAGGCCCCATAATAAGTTGATTCCCGACGCCCCTGCAAATGAGAGACATGATGAAGCTGTTATCCTTCCGGCTCATAAAGCGGAGGCGTTGCTGAGAGAGTTCTTCGGCAGGGATGGTTGGACTTCTCTTGAAGAGAGTCTGGCTGCTGGAATCCAGGGGTTTGAGTAGATTGGATTGGTAGATAGAGATATCTTGACGATGTTCTATATACTTTACTAAGTATATCAAAGATATCTGTCTACTTTTTTAGGCAGTGAGCCCATAAAGATACGTGACGACATTTTTGAATTAAGAGAGCGGTATTATCTGGGCGTTGAGATTTACGAAGACATTTCCAATGACCTTGTAACCTTTCAAGATGTGGTCGAATTTGCTTCTAGTAACTCAAGAGACATTCGAATATACATGAGGGAAATGCCGTATTGTAGGAGAGTAGTCAGTAGCAAGTGGTCGGGGTATAATCCTGACCCCAGTACCCTCCGTCAACGATCGTTCAGTTCACGATACTTCCTTCACCCCAGACCTGAATGCTTCATTCACTAGCACAAGCCCTGGCACTCTACAATTCATTCAATTTAACAAGATGCAAGATGACGTAGGGTTACCGCCTTGCCAAGATATGCTATATTAAAAGAAGAGGGGGCAGATCGCGGGGCTCGCGGTGGATCATACAGAAATGCATAATTCAAACAACCATCAAATTGTACTCTATACCTACTACTAGTACTCGTATACCACATTCATACCCACCTAGCTCTCATAGCAATGGCACCTTCAGAGTACTTCATCAGACTACAGAAGGGTGGGTCTTCACCCAACCAAATCCCCTCCTCAAAACTACTACTATTCATTCTAACACCGGGTTCCAATGAAGGTATCGAAGGCGGTTTCGCACCTCCTACTCCATCTGCAATTCTAAAATTGGTCAAAAGCGCTGACGACTCCAATATCATCATCAACGAATCTATCCGTCCAGATGGCGAACCGGGCATGGAACGGAAACCTCAGAAAACCCTCGACTCGTCGGATGAAGAGGTCCAGGATCTGGTAACTGAGCTCTATGAGATTCTGCAAACCTTGCCATTGGAGAGTCCGCCGGGGTCGGAGGACATTTATCGAAGGGATACGTCTATTACGTGGGGTAGTGATGATTTTGAGTGGTGTAATGGCGGACCGCAGGGGTGTACGCGAGAGGAGAGTGATGTACATCCTTCTGAGGCGGAGCAGAGTAAGTTCGTGAGGGCTATTGATATTGTGAGGGAGTTGGTTGGGATGGGGACTCCCTGAGGGAATGATAAGAGACGTTTTCTATGGGGGTTATGGGTGGATATCGTCGAGTTTGGTGATCATCGCTAGCTTATTACTCGGTGGTAGTCGGTGGTGCGTGGCAAGATCGGTGGATGGTAGGGATATTTCGCCTGGCTTGGTAGTATCACAGTGCCCTGCCCTACGGGGATTGTTGGATATTGTAGAGATTTGACATTATGGACGGCCCTCTTTAACTACATGAATTGCATTTTGGATCATGTGATAAGCTTACCCAATTCTTCTTCAGTATCTATCATCTGTAATGTTTTATCATATATCTTGCGAGTCTACTCGGAAGAATTATACCTCCGTTATTACCTCTCTCACTCTAGCACAAATGTAGTGTGAATAGTCTCAGTATAGTTGGACATCGACAACTCATGTTGTAGGCATGAACAATAGAAAAGCATTTATCATACATTCCAGGATGGTATCCTTGAGAACCCGGAGCTGTACACATTTTCGCACATGCCATCACGTTAATGAATCACGGTAAGCACATCTCTGGTCAAACCTTCACCCTGGCTGAAGTCGTCAAACACCGGCATCGTGGGAAAGTGTGTCGAAGTGAACAACTTCACACGGGAAAGAATACAACCTGATCACAATAAAGAACGTTTACAAGGGCCGCATATCTTTCATCACATTCGGGGGAGCATATGTCTATGTTATCTCATGCCCACTCGACCAATGCCCACTCGACCAAAATAGCCATATGGTCACAAGGTCGCATCTTGAACACCTTATCCCAACATGTTATACCTATTACTGCTTCAACTAGGATGAGGGAATCAAAGAGGGAGGGAAGGCAGCGAAATACCATGATTGTTCACATACCACTGCAACATGAATAGGGAATTCGGTGGAGTCTCTAGCGCCATGCCCACAGCATAGACAATTTTGTGAAGCGTGTAGGAACCAATACTGATTTTGAAGCTACCTGCGCCAGCAGCAGAGCCGGACTTACCTCAACTAAAGTCACCCAGGTAAGGGTGTGTCTCCCAAGTGGCTTTTATCGTAGTGGGTCATTAGATGCACATCCATGCACCGGTAGTAGCGCCAGCATATACTAGACAAAACACCATGTGAAAGCTTCCCGAGACATCTAGACGGTAATAGGCCATAACTGAGTTACATAACATGGCTCTGGCTACAGAACCCGCGAAGAAAAACAGTTTAATTAATATTCGTCTCCTGTTCTAGCAGCTAGATAGAAGAGGTGATCCGTGCTCGTCAGTAGTATAGCCGCCAAACTTTGAGCAGGATTAAGCTTAAGATAAACTTTTGGCCAACCGGATTGATTCCGAGGGGACTTGGAAAATGGAAAATGGGCCAATTCATGACATGTTTGATATCCTGCTAATAAGGAATCATGCCCTATATTATGTCATTGGTGTGTTCTGACGCCGGGTTTAGACATGGTTACTTTTAAATTAACTCCTTGCATGGTTTACGAAGATGTAATATGTATGTAATGATATAAATTACCGGATGATTTGGTTAGCTTTTGTTGTATTCGCCGGGTTTAGTCTTGAATTATTGCGGACCAGCTATCGGAGTCTACGGGAGTAGTTGTCTCCAAAATATATATCGGGATTGTAAATTTCACCACGAAGGATGTATTCTCATTTCTAGCTCTACCTTGGGATAATTTGCGAGAGCTCTGATCGTCAAATCCCAATTCCCATCAATTCAATTTCCTCCACAAGAAATAATCACAACTTTTTTGATCGGTATTAAAAGTGACTATGTTGGGTCCAAACCAGCTAAACCCATATGCAAACCCAGAAATCAAGACGCCAGAAATGCATTTAAAGGCCAATAAACTTCATCAAGAGCCAATAGCTCAGTCAGCATCATTGGTCTAGTGGTAGAATTCATCGTTGCCATCGATGAGGCCCGTGTTCGATTCACGGATGATGCATTCTTTTTTGCTTTTCTTTTTGTTTCTCTCCGACGAAATTACTTTTTCTTTTTTTTTTCGACGGGAGTTTAAAGACGGTGACCGACCGCGTTTCGTTCCTCATCCCAGATCGCATATCCCCATTGCCATCCGGCCGCGTTTCCGATCGTCCGCTCGATCCACGGTTCCTGGAGGTTGTCGCTGCGGACCACTTCCCGGACGCGGTGGATGGGCCCGTAGCCATGCCAGTGGTGCTTCCAGCCGCTGTTGGGTTGCTCGATGGCCGGCATGAGCGGGAGGGTTCTGCCGATGTCTTCGCTTTCGTACTTGTCGGCTGGGTAGAGAAGAGATGGGGGGTCCCGGGAGACCTGGACGAGGATCATGAAGGAGGACTTGGAGGAAACAGCATTACAGGCGATGAGGTTGCGGCGTGCCTCGTAGGATGGTTGACGGAGGACTTTGTAGAGGAACGATGGACCTAGGGAGACGAGGTGGTTGCGGTAATCATTGTAGTCGTTGCCGTCGCTTCCTGTTGGTTTCCATTAGTGTCTGGACTCTTGGAGATGAACTCTACTAGAGAGGGAAGAAGGGCTTACCATCGCCATCCACGCTGGGGAACAGTTCCATGCCGTCGACTGTGGGCCGGAGCGATTGCCATTCATGACTGTTCCGGGGGAACTCCTGGGCGATCTCGGAGAAGATCTCCGTATATTGCTGTTGGAGGAAGACCCAGAGACAACCGAATTCTTCGACCTCCCAGGGCGGCATGGTGCCGAAGATCATACTCCACATTTCGTGGAGGTTGAAATTGCGGTACCAGCTCGAGGATCGGCGCTTGAAGAAGCGGGATTGTGAGGGCGAGGCTACGTCGGTGGTGTGATGCTGCTCTTCGCTCCATTCTCGGGCGCCGAAGATGTTGCAGTAGGTTTGAAGACGGCAGAGGGCGCGGAGAATGCGGGCTTTTTCAGTATTAGAGGGGTTGATGGGACGGTTCTGCTCCCATGTTTCTTGCGACACGCCAGGTGGGCAAGAGGCTTGAGCGCAGTAGACGTTGAGGAGGTATTCGAGTTGGCGGTAGAAGTGGGAGAGCTGTAAGCATTCCTCCATGTCGGCGGGAGCATTCTCGGAGCCTGGTAGCTCGCCATGGCGACGGCGACGGTCGAGGAGGGTGACAATCTCATTTCGGTTGGCCGGTACGTCGGCATGGAGACCTTGGGAGCGTAGGGCGGCCATTGGCTCGGCCAGGTCTACGAGACCATACTGTCGTTGGAGGATGTCATGGAGGAGCTTCTTCTTGGAGAGGGTATAGGTGTTGTAGTAGATCGGGGAGGCGTGAACCAGAGACTTGAGGGATGGGACATCGGGGAGCTGTTGGATGATGAGGATGCGAAGCTCGGTTGGGAGGGATTCAAGCGCCATGACTGCCGGCAGCACATTGGCCAGTGATTAGATCGATCTGATAACGAAGAGGAATGGATGATGACACGATGTTGTCAGCTGAATGAGATTGGCAAAGTGGCTGTGGTCGGGGTGGGATATATATATATATATATATATGACCAGACATTGGTTGTGCCATGGGTGCCGGTCTCACATTAAAAATGTTGACCGAAGAAATCATTGCAACGACGTGATCCTCAACAATGGAAACGTGAGGCAAAATGGAAGCTTGACAACGTCAGTGGATCCGCCGTCTTGGACCAGTCACGGCGATGCGCTTCTCGGCATTTACCTAATGGAAATGCGGGGGAGAAAAATGCGGAGGACCTCAGTTCCTCTCTTCCTCCCTGTCGATCTCCCTTTTTCGATTTTATTCAAATTTGGGGAAATTCATTTACTGGAGAAAATCTCTCATAGAATTGGTTGTCTTTCTCCTGAGCACCGTCCAGGCACCGAATTCTATTCCCTTCCTCCCGTCCCTCCTTTCCATCCTCAACTACAATATTGCCGCCGAGAAAAGAATCAAATCGACTCAAATCATAAACCGATTTAACATTTCCCATAAATTCAATCCTCCAGTAGATCCAGACACGACAGCCACGCATTTGTTTGCGTGATGATATTTATAGACGATCCATACCAATGGCTGTGACGTGATCGCAACGTGATTTCACCCCAAGAAATCTCTTCATTTCCATTACCTAAAATTGTGGACGCCGGGCCGGTCTAGAATGAGATTCCTGGGTCAGCAGCCTATCCCTTTCTCTTTTCAGTTTCTCCGTCCATCACGCGGTGAGGGATAAAATCTCTCACTGGAAACGCTTTCCTTGTGTGGTCTTTTCGGTTGATCCGAGCAAACTTCCCTTGTTTTGACTCTGGCAAGCATCGGCTACAAGAGGCGATTCAACGCCGGTGTAAACTCGGTGGTTGTGCCGATGACGTCATATACGCTGCATCCCTGCCGGTCTGACTTATCCTCGCCCTACCCCGGTCCGGTCATGTGAAGCCTGGGAGCCTTGGGTTCCCCTGGTTTCCCATCCCCTGGCCCATTGGGGAATGGCGGTGGTCCTTCCTCATGGGGTCGTGGCTGAGGTCACGGTACCTGAGTCACGGGGGAACGTCGCAGTTCGAGGTTAGAACTATAGAATTTTTCCATCGTGACTCGCCCCTATCCACACGATATCCACTGTGGATGTCGAGTGGATATTGGATGCCGCGACGAAAGTACGGAGGACAATTGATTGAATTTCATCTCAACGAAAACTTTAATCCTTGACTCACGGACAGAATTGAATTCTCTGTTTTTTGGACAGACCGTCGCCCCCGTGAAGAGGCAAGAAAGAATCCAATTGAATATTCAGTGAAGAATTGACCATAGGGGCATAGTATTGATATATATACACATTTGGTAGACCAGTTAATGCATACGTATTACCCTGGAACATTACGCCATAAATTGTCATAAGGCCAAAGGCTTGTCCGATGTAGAAGGCTCGAGGAGCTTCACAACGGTTTAGGGTGCCTCAGGCATGAGTGTGAGCCTGGGATCTGCCGCTCATACACGCTAGGCTTATTTAGGCAGGTTGAGGCAGTGACCTGACTCGGAAGGCCTTCCGAGTCCACTCCCTCCAGAGTAAATGAAATGCTGGCGTTGGGCGATGAATCCCATCCAATGTCTCTATATATATCTCAATTTTATATACGTTCAGTACATACGACCATAGGGTGTGGAGAACAGGGCTTCCCGTCCGCTCAGCCGTACTTAAGCCACACGCCGGGAGGTTAGTAGTTGGGTGGGTGACCACCAGCGAATCCCTCCTGTTGTATGTTTTTTTTTTGTTGCTTTCATTGGGTTTAGTCTATTGGCACTTTATCTGTACGCTATTCACTCCTAAACCTACCTAAACTTCACCCATTGCACCATTATAACCCTGGATGCAGCAGGCCGATACCGCCAATCCGCAATAATTGAATATCCCAGTTTTGTACCTTCCTCTGCTGGCAGAATAGTTTACTATACTGAGACGTTGCTTGAATTCCTTAGTCTGCTTGGTCTGCTTAAACTGTTTAAATTGTTTACTTAGTTTATAGACTGAGTATAGCCTACTTAGTTTACGTAGTCTATTCACAGTCTAGGGGCGGCCTGACCGTCTGCTAGTAGGTCTACTTGGCTCTGCTGCTGCAATAGTTTGAATCTCAGGGTCTCTTCTTAGTAAGGCGGTCAGCCGGGCGGTTATCTAGGGGATGGAGAAGTAAATATAGCTCTGACCTTAGCGGTGGGAACTATTCGTATTTGTGGAAACACCTATGTGCAGGGTGAGTACGCTATTTGGCATGGCTAGATTCCAGGGCGCGACCACAGTCTATTATGGTATCTTGTTACTATAGGTAACTATCTACGGTGGATCAACTGACCGTTATGACCTATCCGTGTATGTCACTGCTCCTTTACATTATCAGCTAGGGTGAGACCTTTCGCCGGCTTGAGCTCATTGCCAGCCATAATAGTATCTGATCATCTAGTTTGAGGCAGAGGTACCCAACGCCAGTCACACCTTGACCGACAGACACGGCCTTTCATTTCCGAGTTTTGGTCCTCTGTCTCCTGGGTTAGGTTGTGAACCATGGAACATAACCATATCCCCCGACAAAAATGGTAGTGTGCAACTTGAGCTTTATCTGTCTTTGTAGAAGTAATAACCTGTCGATTTGACGGAAAGCATCTGATAAACATACGGGAGATAGAGCCTGACTTCCAATTGGCCGGAAAATGTGACATAGCGATATGATCTCTTAATCGCCATATAGGCCAAGACAAGAGCGGATATAGACGTCAATGAGAGATCAAATGTAATAAATTGTAAGAGAATCTCTTCTTGCCGACATTGGAACTTTGCACTTCGGAATGTCTACAGTGCAAATGAGTAACCTTCCTGGTTGTTCATGGCAGCTTTTGCCGTCTAGTACAACCCTAGTAACACTAGAAGAGTATGTGGTGTTAACGTCAAAGGTCACAGATGAACTACTAGACAAATGGGATTTTGGTGCTATTCATTCTCTGTATTAGAAAAACCATGTAACGGGGTTGTACCTTAATCCACAAGGACACGCCGTATATGTGAGCGTCATACTGGCGTCTCTGACATGTTCAAACGGTCGTTTTAACCCATCGAACGGGCCCATGGTGATGTGTGTGCTACCTTGTCGAGCAAGTAATATGCTGTATATGCTTCTATACGTATTCTCTATGCAACCGGCAGAATGCCTGAAACTGATAACGATCCACCGTCGACAAGGGTGTGGGGTATATGGATAGTCGATGGAACGATATACCAAAAGGATATCATATACCGAATATCGACCACATCACATACTAAATAGACTCTTGAAAGATGCCACAGATGCCCTGGAGGTGGTTCTAGTAGTGGCGAGGTTCTTCCCATCATCCCATAATCATGCCAACTTTTGCCAAGGTCCAATGACACAACCCCGCCTTCAACAAGGCTGAAATATGTCTGGGTGCGGCCTGGTTCGCAGACAAAACACCTTTACACTCATGCCATCGCTCCGAAGAATACGGATGCCATGGCAAATGTCCACACCTATGAAACCAAACCACCGGCTATTATATATGGCACAGCGTGGCAGGGATCCGGAATGAAGCCTCTCACCTGTTCGGCAATTTCTGCTGGTATATATGGGTTTGATACGGCTGAACAACAAAAAAACTATTCCCAAGCCCTTCTCGGCGATGCCCTTCGCCTTCATATAGGGAATGGCTTGGTGTCAAGACATGATCTATGGGTAGGTGCATCTAGCCTTCTGCTAAATGCCAAAACTTTCCATTCCATCTAATCCCACACAACGGACACCTTGGTTTGGCACTCCTTTAGGAGGATGTATAGATATACGATAATAATGAACGCCTTTGGATAATTTTTACACTGCAATACTTACAAATTGTAACAGGTACAAACCAAATTCTCCCCATATGATAATGGCTTCTCCAAAGGCACTCGAACATACGAGAAGCTGGAGGATATTGCAATGCATGTCCACCATTCAGTCCCTCTGTCTGTCTTGGAACTGTGGGGCTCGTCCCCATCCTCACACGAGGGGTCTTCCTCAGCCAGCGCCTCGGAGATGTATATCGACTGTCTGATATTACACTCAGTTCTTGAAACATTGACCGAGACACTTGCTGCATGGTCTGCGATGGAGAATTTTGTCCCCCACCCCGTACGTACTCTTGGTATCTCCAACATCTCCTATGCCCGATTACGCACTTTATATGATGTCGTGGCGATCAAACCTCGTGTCGTACAAAACGCCTTTGGTCCAGAGAATGGCTTTGATAATGCAGTTCGTACATTCAGTCAGGAAAAGGGAATCCTTTATCAGGGATTTTTCATTATCAAGAGGAACAAGTCTCTGCTGAAGTCTACGGCAGTGCAGGAAGTCGCGAACACCCTGTGTGTTGACCCTGAACCAGCGCTGATGAGTTTAGTCGAATCCATGGGGGTGTCGGTTATCTTTGGCAGCTCCAATGAGGCACATATTAAGGAAAATGCAAAGGCTTTGGCCAGGGTCAAGGCGTATCGCGACGAAGGTGGCCACGAATGGTGGAGACGAATGACAGAGTCCCTCAAACAGACCATGTACAATGGCACACATTGAGAAACTTGAGGCTGGATTGTAGCTCCACATAACTGACACTTATTTCCTTTTCTTAGTTTTGCGAATTATATATGATATATCCTGTCCCACTGCCATGCATACATCTAGATAAGTGAAACGATGGATTTCTCGTATCACAGTTTATGCGGCCGTGAACAAAGCCTGATGCTACTGGGAAAAGTATTAAAAACAAAAAATGTACGACATGAGCGGCCCCCGATGGCGTTCGGCCTATGCCGGAAAGCTAATGGTATCGGCGTGATTCGTCCCTCGAGAAGCTTCCTGCTACTCTATCCCCGATTCTTCACGTTTCATTCCTTGGGGATATGTGAATACCAGAGCTCTGAACTCCACACTCTCCCTGTTTGTAGACTGGCACGGTGCATCAGGTTGGGCGAAGGAACTATGAGGGCATACTTGGGCGAACTATTAGCAGGGTCAAGGACAAGCTGGTAACTAAACATACTGGTAGATTCAACATCCTTTTCAGAGTCGAAATTTTTGAATAGGCATATTTCGTCGGGTGTTTGATGATGAAGATAATACCAGCGAAATCCCGGCCGGTACTTCTGGTACATTGTCTCGCCTACATAGTCCTTTCGGACCAGATCAACTGCCACAAGGTCACTAAGACCCATTGTCCGACCATCACCTAGAGCAAGTGGCCAATTTTTGACGACATCCAATGGTCGCCAAAGGCTTCATAAGTACTTAGCATGTTGTTTCACTTGATCTGCCTTCAGGAACTCACTTGATTACCCTTATGCGGCCTTTCAGTAACTGATCTGCTCGGCTGCCCCTCAGCATTCTCACCCGTTTCACGGTAGCGTAGGGGCTCTGATCTTGATTCAGATGCATGATTAGTCGTAATTTGTCTTCTGGAAGCTGTGAACTGTGCCTTCTACTTACCAAGATGAACTTGCTGTGCTGGGACGAGCGCATGGGTGGGGTTATTCATATCAACTGCCTGATTGACAGGAGCTCGCCATGTTGTAGACCGACGCTATCTTGAGTGTTAATGAAACTCGCAGGACCAAATTGGTTTCCGGGCATATCTGGGCATAACTCACTCTCCAATCAAATACCTCAACCTCGTCAACACCCTCAACCATCTCCTTGATCAGCCGCTTCACTTCAGGTATATGGTATGTCTCGACCTGTCTAGCAACATCCCAGTCCTTGAACGTGGTGGGAGCAGTACGAAAACAGAAACCATGCTTATCAAGCCCAAAATTCGACTCGTTTCCGCGAATGTTGATAACTTTCTCCTTAGCAGGTCTCTCCCAAGATAAATTTGCCTTCGACTGGTTGTCTCGTATATGGGACAGGATCTGGTATGGCTTCTCGTACTGGAAACAGTCCCGATTCTCTATATAAGAGAACTGCGCCAGTTGATATTCCGGGCCCATTTTGTCAGATCACTGAATATGTGAATCTTGTTCAGTGGGTCAACAGATCAGAGTCTATTATAGCGGAGCTGCTGAAGAGATCTTCCAGCCTCCCACCCCCCCTGGACACGTGGATTGCTAAGGTCGTGCAAACACCAATAGCTCACGAACACGATACGAATACAAAACACTAGATTGCTAACAAGAAACGCGGACTACCTATTGGTGCCCTCTGACTATTGCCAAGCCGTATAGGGGCTTCATAGTCTCGTATCTGATATAATTGGCAGGCTTATGTAGTTATCCAAACCCCCAGTAACTTCTCTCGGACGGTCATCCAATCGGACATAGTTAGATACATCCACTAACAAACAAAAAAGCCTCCCATGTGATTAACCAGTGAATGTCCCAGCACCACCCTTTGCGCAATCGCCCTCATCATTGGGGGAGCGGACAGGATCGACAGTGCTATCATCCCAAGGCGTGTATCCTTTGGCATTGCGGTCCGCAACGTCATCTCCCACCTCGTCCAGCCATGGCTTTTTGCGTGCCTCAGAATTATACTCTTCCTCGAGCGTAACTGCCCATGAAGCTTTGTCTTCTTCCATTGTTCGAGTTAGGGTCCCTTGCTGTAGCGTTGACTTATCTAAGGCTCGGAGGCACCTGTTGGTGTGTTTAGGGGTCTTGATTGGTGGTGGAGCCATTGAAGTGCGACTTACTTGAAAGTGTTCTGTAGCTTTGTGTGATCACAATCTTGGAGAGGTCACCGTTGGCTCTTCATCTTCTGAACGCTGACTAGAGGGTGCTTTTGCATCCTTTTATATATCCTACTTAGCGACCACGCTTCGATGACCATGAATGCGGCTGAATATGCATAATACATGACTACATGCGTGGGACCCGGTATGCCAAGGTCCAGCTATAATACTAGTTTACATGGACTTCTTCGCCCCAGAGGACGCCGATGGTCCCTCTCCCGGCCTCGAACGACACCAGGTGATCAAAGCGGGCTGCTTCCGCTTCCTTCTCAGACAAAGACGCGTCAGCCGCCATTAAGGCATGCTTGTGATTCGCTTCTAAGGCGTCTTTCCGCTCCCTGGCCTCTGCCAATAAAGCTTGGGCGGTTTGATGGTCCGCTTCACCTCTGTTGACCAGTTCCTGTAGAACCGACCCTAATGCATACCCCGCCCGAGCCTTGCATTCACTTGGCCAATAGACAGCCTCATGGAGGTCAACACATTTCTCCAGCCTTGCCCTAATAACGAGTGGGACTAACTCAGTACTGACTCTTGCTGGTAGGGTGGGGTTCCATTGGCACAGGTGAATGGGTGTAGATACATACCTAGCGTTTTTGAGGTCTCCTAGAGCGCGGTATGCAAGCCCACAGGCAAAATAACTATTCAGGGTGTGAGCCCGCTCGCCAAAGATCTCCATTCGCGCTTGGAGCACACTCTCATGTGCATCCAACGCATTCGCGTACTTGCCAGTGCAGTAGAGTATATTGGCACGGTGGAAGAGAAACGATTGGGTTGTTGCGGCGTGAACACCGACATTGGCTTCCATCAGTGTCGTAGCCCTCTCGATCAGCCGCATAGCCTCGTCTGGCTGCTTCTGGGCAAGCCTCACTATTGCCAGGTTCTTGAAATTTTCGGCAAAGTTGAAGAAAGCTGTTCCGTTCTCAGGGAGGTCCAGAGAGCACTTGATGCTAATAGATTCGTCGAGATAACCCTTAGCCTGGTTGTAACAGGCGTACTCGAGAAGGCTGCATGCGACATCATTGAAGGCATTCGCGAAAAGAAGCTTCTCATCCCGGGATGGTGGTATGTTCTGATTACGCAAATTCGCCATGTGACGTTTACGCAACGCGAGTGACTTCCTGCACCGGTCCAAGCCCTGCTGACGACCGGATATCCCGATTTCCTGGCTCAATACACCAAGAATAGTAGCCACCTTGGAATGTTCTATCAGATCATCCCATGTCTGAGTTTCGTAGATTTTTTCCGCCAGTTCTAGAGTAGCCACGCCTTTGTCGTAGAGAGCACGCTCCCACATATAGTTTCCGAGGTCTCCAAGCAGATGAACAAAATTTTGGCTGGGAGCCAGCGTCATCTCAGAGTCCGAGGGAGGGGCATTCTCGAACACATTCTGCAAATGTACAACGTGCGGCAGGCATGCCTCTTGCAGCTCCCAATTATGATTGCTAGGAGCCTGTATGGATGACTGACGTGGATACGCCCTCCGGACGATGTCGACGGCCTCCTCAAAAGCACTTTGTCGATCGTAGGGTGCTTTGTCAAGTAGATGAAGAAGGTGCAGTTGCAATGAACGGTGAATCGACCAGTATCCTTGATTGTCGACCATCTCGCGCTTGACTAACTGACGACTGTGGAGGGATCTTAGAAGTTGCTTCGACTTCAATTTCATCTCATGGTGGCCCGAATCACCAAACAGCATTGCTTCCGGGATGTGACTGGGAGAAAGCATGGAAACCACGTTGATGATTCGTCTAGCTTCAGGCGATAGCTCGTTCAATGCGACCTCCCAGACAGTCGGCAGCGCTCGTGAATACTGGTAGTGTGGATCTCGGCCCCCCTCCCAAATGATCTGAGACTCTTGTCGTTTTGTGTACATCTCGATAAATTCCTGTAGGGAGCAGTGGGTTTCCTGGATGTACCCTGCCATATGAGAAATAGCCACCGGTAGACCACCCAGCATCTCTGAGATCTGGCGTGCGGCCGATATCTCCTCAACTGCCATTGTCTGGTTCTCCAGCCGATGTAGCAGGCAGAGGAGAAGCTCTCCCCCCTGGGTCCGGTCCAGGACCTTGAGCTCCAAAGGTGGATGAGAGGAGATGTGCGAAATGTAGGAATGCTGGGTAGTGACCAGGATGCTGCCATGCGAGCCAGACGGCCAGTATGGTTTGGTGATGGCCCAGGTTTCGAAATTGTCATACACCAGCAACCAGCGCCGTGACGTTTCTTCAAGCCATCGTTTTGCCTTTGAGACCTCTATTGGCAAGCTCTGAGGCTCGGCCGGATCCCTGTCGGATTGGCCGGTCCTTCGAGCGATTGCAGCAAAATCTCGGGACAGCGTTGTCTCATCGGACGCATCCAGCCAGAAGATGTAGTCATATTCGGACTTGAACTGGTAGGTATATTGAATGGCAAATTGGGTCTTGCCCACCCCACCCATGCTATAGACAATACAAACGTTCCGGTGCTCCAGGCCATTTGGATTGGTCTTCAACTGCTTGTGAATGTCTTCCAGTTCTTTTGTACGACCGACGAAAATGGTGTTCTGGGAGTAAGGAACAATGAAAGGTTTCTGAGCGTAGTTTGACGTGGGAATAAGAGGAGACTGTTCCTGTATCTTGTTGACTTCCGTCACGACCTCCTCACAGACTCCCACGTGAGCTTCGCGTTCAAAGTTCCTCACAATCCCGTCAATATCCTGCTTTGCCTTTTGTAGGGTCTCCTTGATTGGCTTGAGGATTGTTCGATGGAGCTTCCCTAGAGACTATTTAGATAGTGCAAGAGTGAAGCAGTGGAATGAAGCGGAGGGGGACGATCATACACCAACGCCACTCATGATAAAATATAAAAGCATCCACGCAGACCCCAACGTACTTATCATACAGCTCCCGCAGGTAGATTCTCAGCTGCTGAGTTGATTTCAACATCTGAATATATCTCTCGAAGACAGGAAGGGCCATTGTCAAATCAGAGAGTAATTGGGCAAATGTTGACATTGTTGAGGTATAATTGAGAGCGTACTGTAGCATCAGATGTAGGTCTCAGTTTCCAAAAGCATTGCAAGAAAGATGTGCCAGGGTAACTCACGGTGATGAGGGCCTGTATGGTACCCCAAAGAAACCCAGCGGGGTTTGGAGACACCGACACCAGGGTCTTGATTGCCTCTGCGAATGAGTTGAGTCGTGTCAAAGGCCCTTCCAGTGCCTCGAACCATTGGTTGGACTTCCGAGAGTGAGCGGTATTTTTCAGACTACACAATGTTTGCTCAAAGTTATTTTGGTTTAAGCCCTGTATCACTTGGGCGAACTTTTTCCGTTTTCGGGATGATAGCCTGGTCAGATGCTTATCAACCAGGTCCTCCCACTCCTTGTCATCAGGAGCAGCACTCATAATGCCTCTTACGAACAGCGGGGCTGTCGAGCGCGAATAGATCTCTCAGTGTGGATCCTAGGGATCATTCCCCACTCGTTCCACATCGCTGGGTCTGGGGGGAAGGAGTTTTGGGGTTTGTTACCCCTGTCTATATCCGGCAGGCCATGTATATATCCTAAAAGCCTGGGGCGGTGCAATGGAAGCCATGACAGTTTTGGGCAAGCCTACCAGCCTGCCCAATGCGTTCGCCCATCATTAAGTTCATCCAGCTGAAACTCCGCCGAAAGGCCAAGCCGCCCTAAGAAAGGTTGAAGCCCCAAAAGCCAATCATCTCGGGAGTATCTCTCTCAGCTTGTCACTGTCGCATAGGAGTCTCCTGTCAGTGAGGCGAGGCTAAAATTGACAGGGGCTCATGAGCGATTCCCACCCTTGCCTCATGCGGCTCCCTCGGACTGGATGCACAGAGCATCTGCCACGTAAGCGGTATTCTCCGACGCATCTTCAAGGCGTCTGTTAGCATAGGGCCAATAAGGAGGCGGAAGGCTTGTTCCGCCATCAGACCTTCCCGTTCCCCCGCCATGACGCTGCTGAGATACCAAACTGACCCTTTCTACCCCCCAGCTCTAAACGCTAGTAACTACACCGCCTTCCTGACCGGCTGATCAGCGACAGCAAGGCATACAATCGTTTGCCCAAGGCACCCCCCGACTCTATCTTAGAGCCCTTTAATTGTAAACCTTCCCTTCGCTCGCCATTTTCTTCCCCTCCTCTTCTCCAACAACACTCACCAGGCGCTCGAGGACCCCCTTCAGTTTGCGCAGATCTTCAAGAGAAATGTAAGTGATGACATCACATGGCCATTCGAAAGTTGTGCACAGGGCTCGTGTACTCTCCCCCCCAAAAAACCCATTGATAACTGACGAACATGTCCAGGACACAAATCCTCAACACCCTCACTGGTGCCAGAGAAAGAATTCTTGCAGCCATCCCCTCCATCAACAAAATATGTGCCGTCTCCGGGGCTCCTGGTCTATCACTTGCGGTGGTACATGAAGGCCAAACCCTCTATGTCGGCCATATTGGTCACCGAGATGTACAATCTCAGCTTGCGCCAAATGATGAGACCAGATACAGTATGAACTCAATGACCAAGGCAATGGTGGCCGCCCTCGTGGGTATCGAGGTGGATCAAGGGAAGCTCGGTTGGGACGACAGGATCAAAGACCATCTGCCTCATTTCAAAAGTACGGTCCCGGAGGTGGAAAACTCGGCGACCATCTTGGATCTGCTTTCACATCGCTCAGGCATCACGAATTTCGATTCGATCTGGCTTGGCTCTCAGAATAACCCCCTGTTGGGAAATGATCAAACTCTCGCCGTCTTTGGGGTCCTCAAGCCTTTGCAGCCATTTCGAACATCCTTTTTCTACAATAACTGGGGCTACGAAGTGGTTGCCCTGGTCTTGCAAAAGGTCACGGGCAAGGATCTCGCAACTCTTCTTCGCGAAAATTTATTTGAGCCACTCCATCTGGACCGCACCAGCACTTCCTGGGATCCAGCGGATGACAACAACGCAGTCTCATACGGCGTGCTTAGCGATCTGTCCCCCGTTGAAGTTGATCGCCCGAAGATTGGCCGAGGTCAGATTATGGAAGCTGCGGGGGGCGTCAAGACCACCATAACCGATCTAATCGCCATTTACAAATCATACGTTTTCGCCATTAAGGATCAGTTTGATAATGGCACGGATTCTTCTCCGGGATCGCCTTTCAAGCAATGTCGTGTGATCGCAACGAATCATGCACGCATGCCCCAGCCTCGGCTTCGTGAGGAGGGCTACGCTGCCGGCTGGGCTAGAGCTCAGCTTCCTAACGAGTTAGGCCAGGTGTCTCTTAACCCATTGATCGGTCCAGAACCCATCGCGGGAAAGGGGTCGCCCTCCGAAATTATACTGTATCACCATGGAAGTATGCCCGGTAGCACCTCCTGTGTCCACCTGGTTCCTGAGACCCAGTCCACTGTCATTGTCCTCCAGAACAGCCTGTCAACCAACGATACCGCGGACCTCTGTGGCCAGGCCCTTCTTGAGGCCCTTCTTGGGACTCCACGGCGCAATGACTATGTAACGGTTGCATCAAATTACACTTCCATCGATCTCCGTCATATGGATAAAATAAAGCATCAGCTCGACTCGACGCGCGATGCGCTAACCCCACCCCAAGATTCCACGGCGTATGTGGGACATTACTATAACGGACTCGGCAATTTCTGTGTTGAAATATTCGAAGACGACGACGGCGCGATGAAGATGCGATGGCAAGGCCTTCCGATGGAAACATACATCCTGGAGCATCATCATGGTGATACCTTTACTTGGTGGATGCCGTATGACGAAGTCGCCCGTCGAGGCCGGTACATTATGGACTTTGCTGCGGAATACTACGTTCTGAGGTTTTCGAAGGGCAGTGACCATACTAGCATACAGATGAAAACACTCGAATGGGCATGGGACCCAGCGATGCCGCATACCCCCGAGGTGTTTACTCGAAGAACTTCATAAGTCGATACCCTTAGTATTAGTGACTTCCCGGTTGATTCTCGTATTGTCTGTAAATACAAAGACTCAGTACTTGTCGTCTGTATTTCCTGCGGTCTAGAGAAGATCACCACCAGTCACGGAGTATTTCCCCTGCTGGTTACATCTGCATTTTCAAATGGTCCTGGGGATTCTATCCCATCCCCGGCTCATCCACCGCAGTTACAATTCCTAGTCTCAATATGGTCTCTTTCGGGCTAGTTCCAGATAATATACGAAGCCGAGGAGTCTTTCCGCAAAAGGGGACAGCTCGTCACCCAGTCACAGCAACCAGTTGTACTTTTTTTGAACCAATCAGCTCAAGAACGAGGCGTTGATGTCATTAAAATCATGCAAAAAGTAACGCACACGTTACTGCACGAGATGAGGCCAATCATCACATTACCCCATGTGCCCTTCGAAATGGTGGGGGTAATCCCCAAAGCGGCTTGGTGTTCTCAAAACTGATTGGATCAGACGAAGGGACATTCGGAGAAAGACATGAAATACGAAAGAAGTGCTCCATCTGAGTGAGCGACAGCAATCGGTGCCAGGACTGGGTGGGATCTGCGTATAAGAACTAGCCACATTGACCCCCCGCTAACGCTAGTGTGATGCATTCCAGTCACGAGTAGTAGTTGGGGGGCGTAGGGCGGCTGAGCTAGGCAGAATGAGGGGATGACCCGACCCAACGAACCCGCAACAAACAATACACCTGACCAGAGGCTCAAGGCCTGATATCGCGGCTCTGAGCGAAGCCGCACCGCCTACCGCTTCCGGACGACCGCAAGAAATTCCTCTAGTCTTGGATGTTGTTTCATTTTTTTTTTTTGAACGTATCCGTATAATGGTGGTGGTAGATGTATCTACAGATCAAACCCCCAAGGATCGACCGGGGAAGTGGTGCACGGCTGTCAGCTTCAATCCACCTTCCAGTTTCCCTTGTTCTTCTGCACCAGACAACAAAGCTACCACCATGGTTTGTGGATCGGATACTCATAATATCTGCTCTTCTGGTTGCTGTGGCAGGCAACATAAGGGGATCAAGACCAGGGATGTATACATTCCCCATACTTTTGAACTAAGGGTCTATTAAGAGTCGTGGTTCCACTGAGTAACTAGAGGAAGAAGATCCTAATAACCCCCAGCTGCTGCAAGGATATGCTATATCCCTGTTGTCATATTTCTTGCCTTGACTATACCATCCTGTTCATTCTTCGAGGTAATGTTCGGAAAAATCAACATAATATCGTCTTCTTGGGAGGGGTGAAGGGAAGGGGGCGGCCATATTGTATCAGGAGCTAAAGAATTCCCTTTAGCTTTTCAACGTCCTGTATTATTGAAATATTTCTCCTAATCACTCGTGGAAGTAAATCCTTGTCAGAAGAACTGGCTGTAGCACCGTACAAAAGCATGGTGTCATTCTACAACATTCATTCATCAATGTCCTTGCTACTTACTTCCCGTGAATAGGCGCTGGAGATTGGCATAATTTAAGTAAATGGCTGGGGTGGGAGATCTAAATAGTAACATCTAACATTTTCCAGCGTCCCTTATTCAATTTTCTCGGCATTTGATGGTGCACGGCATGAAAAGACATTCTGTATGGAATCATCCGACATTTGGCCAAGCGCTATACATGAACCATTGCCTGACTTAATATGCTTCGCAGAGATAAGGTCTTTGAAAGTAGTCACCACTGCCAATCGAGTATTGTCTCCTACAGCGATGTCCTCATAGTAGTTTATCCGCTGTTTGTTGGCCGCCTTCTCTGCCTGCTTGCAGAACGTCAATAACGCTTCGGTGCCTCTGACCTCGTCCTGGAAAGTTCGGCTGTCAGAAGTTTGGTCCCTCTGCAGCGGTGCAAAATCGACCTTTTGTGCGGGGAATTGTTTATCGACCTCCGAAAGATATTGGTACAGACTTATTTTCCAGGACATAAGCTCTTTGTGGGCGGAATTGAACCCTTCTGCATTGATTAAGCTAGATTGGCTAGGCGGGATGGTGTATGGCCGGTGGAGCTCTCTGGTAGTGTGTTCGAAGTCTCCTAGCAGGCTACTCCGAGACTGATTCATGAAATCGAGGAATCGTTGACAGATGTCAAGGCCTTTTTGAGTGCATTGTTTTTCATCCTCCATCCTTTGGAGATCTGCTGCATGAATCTCTGTGGTCGGCGAGCCCTTGAGAGACGAGGACTCCAGCCTTGTTCGAATATCATCGAGATGATTTTCCAGGTCACACTGTGTGTTTTGAATGAGTTCTTTATACTCCTTAAGCACACCCTCTGTGATCTTTATAGTACGGCTAGTGAAAAATATTAGGTCCTTCAGAACAATACAAGGGTCTGTAGAGAAACTGACAGGTTTGCATATGCCAGGGCAATCGTAACGGTTGATTTATATCCGGCCAACATGTCCTTGAACCCAGAGATATCTTCTCCCATGTATCGTATCTTAAACCAATCTCTTTTGCTAACTCGTTCCTCAGTCGAATGTCGCGTATATCCGGCAATCAGCTTATTAAATTCGGAACAAGCATTGCCACACCTTTTAAGAGGCAACTGCAGGACTTGAAGGTCGACGTCAAACTTGCGAATTAACTCGTCCAGGGCCTGTAAGACGCCCTGGAGCTCCTGTAATTCATTTCGGAGTTCGCGAATGATCTTGTCCCGGCTTTGAAAACTTTTGATGGTCTGGTCGAGTAATATGGCTGCCTGAAGGGCCAAGGTCACAAAAGTCGTGATAGCAGAGGCCGCTCCAACTGCTTCGGCCATAGTAGAAATAATATATGTATGTGAAGATGGATCAATGTGTAAATACAATTAGCCCTTGAAGACCCAGCACAGGTACTTTGGAAAAGATATATATGTTGTTGCTCGGCTGAACACTTTAAGTTACAAAATGATTGTGCAATAAGCGATAAGTGATCCTGGCGCTACGGTCGACCATTCGTATAGCGAGAGGGTGCTGGTTTCAAATATAGGTCAATCCAGAGATGTTTAGCGTGTTCTATTATAAGAGATTGGATGATTTCCACACGGGGATAGGATAGTGAACCATCAATATATGGACCAAATAAATTACTGGAATGTAGGTGCGCGTCTAACGTCTAGAGGGGCCTGACCGTAGGTAAACTTTACACGACAGTTCGGCCTAAGATAGGACTTGTGATCGATAAATTGACGGGTTGCCAATATATGCCACGCCATGAAGATGTATGTAGACTCAGGTATTTCGTAATAGGTGACCTCTGCACCTTTCCACGCCTGGGATTGACCATAATAACCCCGCAGGATATAGCAAGACTAGGGATACCTTCCTCTGGTATTGTTTACCCCAGCCAAGAGCGACGATTTTTATTTCTAGCGCTAAAATAATGCCCCTGATAGGTGACCTTGTCGCTTAGGGACTATCAGTTAGCGACTCAGTTAGCGCAAGGGCGGCGCTACGAAAAACCTTAGTACAGAAATCCAAGATAGACTTTCTGGTTCTTCGGGTTAAGGATATTTAGGTTTTGGAAGGGCTGTTAAGAGCGACGAGACACCCACAAATAGGTTTGGGTGAGAACAATCCATACTAATGATGCTGTCTGTTTTTTTATTATTATATTTCTTATTAGTTTGCAGGACCTGTTCACTGAACTCAGGTGGAATACTTGGGTATGGGGTACGCTCGCTTCCCGAACATGTTGACTGACGCTAAAGTAGCGAAATAAGTTGGTGATATTTTTACTTTCTAGGGTAGATAAAAAGAACTAGTTGATTGGATCTTAGGCTTTCTACATTAGACCTTTGATTTCTGCTAATTCCAGTTCCAAAAGCTCTCATTTTGCTTGAATGGTAGGATGTTTTTACACGGCGCGGGAAACGCGCTAGTGAGTGTCGTTAGACTTTTGACCCACCTTGGTATTAGTAGTACTAGTGATTTTACTCCAGAAGAGGGGAATAACTCAATGGTATCAATAAAGTGCTTTGAGATAGCTACAGTGAAAGATATCAGAAAGATCCTTTTCAATAATACCACATCCTCGTGTGCATAATTCTGAAGTATTGGTTCTTTTCTACTTTTAAACGAGACTCTAGTATTCACTTTCCTTGATTTCAGAGGTAAAGCTATAGATAATACTAACTTAATGGCGTACTATTCCATCCTGCATTACATCAATACCCGTAGCGCTTACTGCTAGCCGCTACGGCCACTCAACCAAGGACACGTCAGCTCACGTAGTGAAGGAGCAAAGCATGTTCCTTATAGAGACATATCATAAGCGGTGACAAAGAACAACAGCCAAAAAGAAAATGCATGTTGAGGAGAGGAAGGATTCCGCTACATACATTTGCCTAGTGTAATCACTAGAATGGCGGACAGCTGAGGCGAAAACTATAGGAAAAAAGTTTAAAAAAAAAAATGATGGAAGATGCTAACCTCGAGTATGAGTGATAGAGCCTATGTTGATCTGAATGCTAGTACAGCCCAAAGTAGAAGGGCCAGCCTGCCGAATATGTATAGCTGAATCTGGGGCTCGAGTTTTATGTATACAAGGTATCTCATAGTTTCAACGCATTTTTCATGTCACCGCAACGTCTGATTCAGAGATCCATTCTCATCTTCAGTTTATCAGAGCCGACAATTTCATCCTTTCTCGTGACAAGCTCCTCCATATCCCCAATTGACACTAATGTACAGACCAGCAAGTCACCCTCGTCTGTCTCGAGCCAACCAGACGACAGTATTACCTGCCAGCTCGGGGGTATCATTGAGATATACATGATATGATTCAAGCATATGCAGAGACATGTCAGTGGCGAACCCCCCTGGATGGACAGTGTGTGCCACTATCCCCTTTGCACCATAGTCTGTCATGATAAATTCGGTGAATCTCATGAGGGCAAACTTCGATATCTGGTAGCTAGATGCTCCTGGGAGTGCGCAATGTGCTCCAACTGATCCAATATTGACAATAATCCTTTCGGCTTTCTCCAGCATCATTGGAAGTAACGCCCGAGTTAGAAGGTAAGGGCCGCGTACATTGACTCCCCAGGTCATCCACCAGTCCTTTACCTTGCTATCGGTGATTCCGACCCACTTTTCAAAGTGGCATGCGTTGTTTATATGGACATCAAGGCGGCGGAAAGTTCCCTTGGCTTTAAGGGCCGCAGCAGCCACAGACGCTTCGTCCGTCGCATCCAAGTTGATATTGAGAACACGTAGAGCAGTGTATCCCGCAGCTTCAGCTGACCGTTTGATCTCTTCTTCGACATTGTCTAGACAGGACCTAGCTCTGATTGCTATAGCTGCCACTTCAGACTTGGCATATGCGATTGATATTGCCCTACCAACACCTCTTGACGCCCCTGTAATGAAGATATGTTTGCTGTATGAGGTGGGATGGATCGTTGGATTGATGGCCGGGTAGGTATCATGGTGTATTGCTGATATGTAATAGAAGTCTACCCGCAAGCTGTTAGCTGCTACTGGAAGCAAAAGAAATCGGGATAGCTCAACCTAACTCAGACATGTTTTCTGGGCAATGCTTTGAAAGTACTATAACTTAGGGCTTAGGCGTAGGGAAAGTGAGAATAATTCGTAGTAAGCTGCTTCCTCGTAGCAACTTCTGGAGTACTTTTACATCGGTATAATTCATAGCGGGGGTGTTATCTAAAATTGTCTGGCCATCTCATTCCCCTCCACCAACACTCCGTGGCATAAACTGTGCATTTGAATCGGGGAACAAAATTAAAAAGGAATGCTTTGAAGAAAAAACCAACAAACATAACAGTGAAACAAAAAAGTGTAATGCATGTACTTCAAGACAAATGAAACAATCCTGCATTCCCTGGAGGGTGAGCACATCTTCGATGGTCCTCCACAGTTAACCAAATTCTCTAATGACCGATTTTGCACCCTCTCTCTATATATCTTTAGAAGAATCTCCTCAGGGGAACTTTGATGCGGTATCGGCGTATATCCCCCGTGAAATTTAGTGCTAACTACATTACAGAGTCGTCGAGGCAAATAGAAGTGCCTAAAAGAGGTTGTCTAACAGTCCAATCTACCCCAATCCAACTGGCTGATAATTGGCTGCTGTGGTACAAGCAGATAATCACCAAAGGCTGAAATCTTATTGCCACTTTCTGGCTTCTACAGTCTGAATTAAAATCAATCCTGTTGTCGGGGATCCATATTCGTCAACTGCACCGGGTGACCGCCCAGATTTTTATAGCTCAGTTAGATGTGACGAGCATACCTGTGATTGCTCTCCAGATTTCCCTTCTTTCTAGTGATTTGACTCACAGGCCTCGTTGCATCTGTAACACCGTGCAAGCCTCCCTGCCCTTCCAAGTACGTGCGACCTTCTGGGATATGGTACCTCTCAATGAGATAAGAGCAAGGGTATCCTACAGAAGTGCTACCTCTGCAGACCAATCGGACCATGTTCCTTGACCCTGACAGCATCGGAAGAGCGCGGTGTGCCCACAGGCCCTCGATCTCGATCCATAATTTACAACAAGTACACATGCTCTGTACATGTATCCATTGCTCAGTTGGTTTAGCGCACTTTACGATTTGTTCGCCGGGGAAGGGGCTTATCTTTTCTTATTGCCACTACCATTCAGGTGTCCAGCCATTTACACTATTCAAGTGAGGTTATATTGCGGATGGGAGTAGGTTAATCCTAGGCTGACCATTACGCCAGCAGATTGCACAACGTCTAAAGGCGTGACACAGGGCTATCGATGCAGCGACGTTGAAAAAAGTACTCGATGTAGTGTGGGACTAAGCGGCCGGAATCACAACAGTGACGCTATTCGTATTCATGTCTGAGTGGCTACTAACCCAGCAGTTATACCGTGCTAGTCAAGGTCAACTTTGTGACTATGGTACTATGTAATAGTTGGTCTAGACTACAATTGCCACCTGGGCTAACGAATGCGTTTGGCTTGGTCAAACCTTTTTGATATTCTGAATTCTTCAGAGTAACAGAGGAGTCGTCTGCAGAGCTCGACTGGTGGACAAAGGTCGGCTGTACAGTATCCAGTGTCATGCAGCTTTCCATTTACGTATAGTGTGCAGCTATGACTCCACTGTAGGTGGAGATAATGTATATCACCAAAGCCAAGATGTACAATGCTGAGAGTTTTATCGATCGTCTTAAAGTAATAATGAACGGCTGTATTACGAGTTATGAGCAGTTAGTCTTGATCTGACTTACGCAATGGCCATTTTCTTATATCAATGCCTTCTTCATTGAGCGATACAACCAGGTCGTCACAGTCATACTGCGTAATTATCCTAGAAAAGTCAAGGCATCCTCGCCACCGACAGACTAGTGAGCCACAGGCGTAAGACGAAACCTCAGTGGCTTCATACCCCAACTAAGATAGACCGACACATCCTTGTCCCAATCCACCGAGGCAGGGTCTAGCTCCCAGTCAAACTCCCATATAAAACGAGATAACAAAAGGCGCAGCTCCAACCTGGCAAGGTTCTGCCCGATGCAATTCCGCGGCCCGACGCTGAACACCTGCATTGCAGCGCGACGATCATCCTCGTACTTCGGATCACCCAACCACCTCTCGGGGATATATTCCTGGGGATCCTTGAAGTTGAAGCTCGAGTTATTCGTAGCGAAATGGCACATGCCGACGTGCGTGCCGCCCGGAATCCAGTTTCCGGCGATATAGGCCCCCTCCTTTGGGACACGGCGGGTAAACACGCCTGGTGCGGGAGGGAGTTTTCGCATCGCTTCAGTGAAGCACGCCGGTAGATATTTGAGCTGGTTGACGCTGATGGCATTAATCTCGTCTGCACTGGAGAAGGAGCTTCGGACCTCCTTGGCCACCTTTACTTTTGCTTCGGGGTTTTGGGTCAGATAGTACAACGTGGAACTAAGGGCAGCAGTCGTGGTTTCACTACCGGCTACGACAAGTACAGCGCAGTTACCGTCGATCTCATACCTTTCGAGATTGTGCTTTGGATCTATTATATTCGAGGATAGGTCGGTGTAGTCGACTTTCTTTTCCATTCGACGTTGAACATTCTCAGATGTGAGTTTTTGATGGTTCCTGAATGCTTCCCGGTAGGACTTTGGGATCAATCGCATGAAGAGTTTGAATAGTAATGGATAGTATCCTAGTGCCTGAATAAAGCTTCTGAACTTGATCGACTGAGTGACCATGAGTATCCACGAGTGGAACCGCGCGTTCTCCAGACATTTGAAAGATTCGCCAAAGGTAAGCTCTCCAATCAGGTCAAAAGTGAAGAACTAGAAAGAGTAAGCAGGGCCATGCCATTGATCCTTGAGATAAGAAGAGAGAGAGGGTTAGATAACCCACATTGAACCACGATGTCATCTCCGGTGCAACGCCACTTGCTGCCTCGGCATGAAGCTGTTTGATTAACACGTCGACCTTCTGCTGTATCAAAGGCTCCTGCTCCCGTAAGGCACCTTCCGAGAACCCTTTCGAGAGTAGACGTCGATACCGGCGATGAAGGTCGTGCCCTGCTTCGGCGATCGTAGGAGCTCCTCCTAGGCCTTGGTATAATGGTGTATCTTTGCTCATCTCCGGCTCGCCATGCCGAACGTTGTAGATGTCGTTCCAGGCCTGGCTTGACGTGAAAAGGACTTCGTTAGGGGCCACTCGCACTACTGCTCCGTACTTTTCATGTGTCTGGTGGAGAAACTCGACCAGCCTGCCGGAAAGTAGGCGAGAGGAATACAGTAGGCGGGTCATGGCTGCCACTTTCGGTCCGGGGTATTTTGCAAGCGGATGAAATGTAATGTTGTAGACTGCGTAAATAGCATAGTGCTAAAGCGGAGTCAGTCGATGCCATGTGAACAGCTGATGGGGTGTAGCCATCAGGAGTGCTTCATCAACGGAAGACTAAGGTGATAAAGAATACGTACCAACACTAGAAGCATCGATATGGATAATATGATACCCCAGATAGGAAGTCCATGGACTTGTTGAATGATATCGCTGGTAACCCATGGAAGCTGGGGAAATCCTGTACTCGAAGCCATCTTTGTGGATTAATCGATACAGAAGATCAAAAGAAGTATGACATGAGTAAACATCTCTGACTTGAGCAGTGACTGGTGTGTATGCGAGTACTTATACATTCGCCACGTGCAATTCAAGGTAAGCTCTGCATCGAAGTCACGGTGATTTTGTAGTAACATGCATCCTGCGGTATATTGAAAGCACAAGGCTGCGAACATTGACTCATGCATGAACAACCCTTCAATAGGAACCATGGGATCCATAAGATTCTTATGCGTCCTACAGTTCAGATGACCAGGAAGGACTAGGATGGGGGTACCTTATTTGCGTCCATTCTAAGTTCCAGCGGCACTTCAATTAATGAACTGTTTCAGGGAGATGATAGTTTCGCATACTTGCCAGGGGTTATGTAAGATATAAGGTAGCCCTCGTATCCAGCAAATATTCGCAGTTATACACTGATTCTGTTTATGTCCATTCCAAGGTCGTCTGACATGCATATTTTAGACCATTTGAGGTACCACATGAGGCTACGGATACCGATAGTACGACAGCCTTGCAGCGGGGAGGCCAGTCTAGGTAAAGACTCAGCGCTTCAGCCCTCCCTTCCAAGAAGAAGAAAACAACGAAACAAGACCTCTTCTAAACAAATGTATAACCATCTCATTCTGTAGCACTACCTCCCTTTGCCACAAAAACGCAATAGCGTTATGGGTCTACTTACCATACAACAACATCTATTACCCAATAATTGCCTGACATCTGATTACTTAGCACTATACACATTTGAATACATGGTAAGCAAATCAATAAGTGTATTCCCTTCCTTTCACAAGAGTAGGTACTAAGTGAATCAAGTCCCGATCAATGGACGGTTGCATTGTAAATAGCTGCCCGGATAATATAACCAAGCCGAGTGCTGTTCTGGCTATCCAGAGCGAGCAATTCCGGCTATTCTCCGGGGATGCGGTTTGCAACTTGAAACCGCTACTACTAGAGTGCAGGGATGAAAATCCGAATGCCTTTCCAAGCTAAAGGCCGAAGGGTGGTGGAGCCGAACACGATTTGTGCTCAGATTAATTTATATGGCCCGCGCTCCAGACCGGCCTTGAGGGTCCACAAGGTGCGTCCAAGCAGACTATGGCGGGGCGCCCTAAGATAATGGTGTATAGGCAATGATACCGTGCCACATCCCACTGCTAGAGAGGATTGGCCTGTGCAGGGATTATTCCAGCTAAAAGGTACCTTTTTCGTCTACAAGAACAGGGGTTCCTCGCAGCGTGCTGGCGCAGCCTCTTCCGCCGTGTTCTCTACATCACTTTGGTTTTCGCATGACAATGGAGAAGCCAGATATTGAGCCCCGGGTCGCAGAATCCTTGAGCAGCAACTTTGACCCAGCCTTGGAGAAGAAGCTGCTACGGAAGTTGGACTGGCGGATCATCCCTGCGCTATGGTTTCTGTTCCTCGTGTCGTTCATGGACCGATCGAATATCGGGTGAGTTATCCGCTCCTGCTCGAAATTATCTGCTATTCCAGAATTAACGTTGTCGTTTCACTTTAGAAATGCCAAAATCGCTGGAATGGTCAAAGAGCTACATATGGTCGGAAATGATTATAATGTCGCCGTTACCATGTTCACTGTCGCATACGTGATTTTCGGAGTGCCCGCCAATCTGCTGGTCAAGAAATTCGGTCCCAGAATGCTGGTCATTTACATGTTCACCTGGGGTGGGATTACATTCCTTTGCTTTAACCGGGAGGATGCTAACTGGAAATCGCGTGGTAGGGCTGTTTGTGATGGGTCAGGGTTTGACCAAGACTGCGACAGGGCTGATCGCCTGTCGATTTTTTATGGGAGTGTGTGAGGCAGGGTTTGTTCCTGGTTCGTGGCAGTTCGAGAAAAACCATCAGATAAATGGATACTGATGAAAGGCCCTTATTAGGCTGCGCATATCTGATCGGGAGTTACTATAAGCGGGATGAGTTTCTGCGCCGCTATGCAATTTTCTTCAGTGCCAATATGGCAGCAGGCGCGATCAATGGAGTTAGTTTCTACTTGATGGTACCCGCTCAGGCTACTGCTGACTCGATATACAGCTTTTCTCGAGTCTCTTGACCGGATTGAACCTCAGCGGATACGCAGGGTGGCGATGGTAGGCTTTCTACCCATGTTGAACCATGACGTCTGTCTGACTGTCTAGGCTCTTCTTGATCGAAGCCATCATTACCATGGGCATTAGCATCATTTGCTATTGGATTATCGTACCTTTCCCCGAAGACGCGAATTTCTTGACCCCCGAGGAGAAAGCGCTACTGCTGGCTCGTCTGGAGGCCGATGGTGGTGGCGTCCGCAACGACCCTATTTCCTTGAAACGGGTGTTCAGTATGGCGGCCGACTGGAAGATCTGGATCTGGTAAGTTCCCTTCTTCTCTCGCCATGTTTCCAAGTCTCGATCAACTGACCTGTGCGACAGCGTGCTGGCCTACATCGGTGCCGAAGAAAGCGCCAGTTCTCTTGTGGCATTCCAGCCCACTATCCTCAGGGACCTTGGCTGGACTGCCCGCTCCGCACAAGCGCACGGCATTCCTATCTATGCGGTCGCATTTGTGCTGACCCTTTCCAGCGCCTGGTTGAGTGATCACCTCCGACACCGCTTCCTATTCACTCTCTTCGGCTCGGTTCTGATCATTATCGGATGGAGTGTTCAGCTGGCGCACTATCTGCCCGCGGCTGTCCGCTACATGGGCATGTTCTTTGTGGCTTCCGGTGCCTTCATCATGATGTCCATCACGGTGGTATGGTTGTGCGTTAATCTCGGCAAGGGAGTCAAGCGCAGTGTGGGTATGGGCCTGCTTCCAGCGTTTGGCAATTGCGGTGCCTTTGTGTCCGGGAACGTCTTTATCACCAGCCAGTCCCCCAAATATCCGGTCGGATTCGGTGTTGGATTAGGCTTTGCAGTCATGGCCGGAGTGGCGAGCACTGTGTACTATTTCGGTTTGCGCGCGGAGAACCGCCGTCGCGACAGCCAGCCCGAGAAGGAGTGGACACCGGAAAGTGCTCAGGATCTCGGAGATGCACACCCAGATTTTCGGTTTCAGCTATAAGAGATGCTTGGATCGCATGAGGGCGCATTGTACCGATACTGGCCCGCGCTAAGTGGGCGGCTTTCATTTAATTTAATTCACAGTACGGGATACTCCGGTGGTTCTACAAACATTACGTACCTATTTACAGCGTAGTATTTTATGTCTCGTCGGAGTGTGTAGCTCGTGTAGCGCAATTTGTTTAGTCTCACATTAGCCCTTAGTGCGGATGTTCCACCCAACCCTCGCAAGCCTTTCCATATGCTTAGCTATGACAAGGTTTGGTCGGCCTCAAAGAATAACAGCTGAAAGCCCCGATTGGCCAATTGAGGAAGTATTTCGCAGCCTATTGGTCCGGGGAATCGATCAAGATTCCACTCTGTGTGGATCCTTTCCACCAGGAACGGACCGGAATCCAAACTAAAAGCGTAAATGATCCACGCCCCTACTCCTGCGCAATAAGACCGTTCTATAACCAGGCCCCAGTCCCTCAGACCGTGACACCACGAATCATGTCCAAATCCCTGCTCAATTACGAAGGTGGATGGTTTCTAGACATTCCTGTGGGCTTGTGGGTTACGACCAGTGTGCCAAGAACCTCGATTTCCTACCAACCAGTGGAAATTGCTTTTTCAATTACCATGGACCAGGTCTCCCCAAGGATCATATGTGCAGGGATGGAACATACCAGCCATCGACTGATCTGGAGGCTATACCGGAATCTCGGTTTAGCGGCTCCTGCAGCATGGTTTGCCTACGGAAAGAGCCTATCGAGTGCACAGGGTGTGGCCAGGCCTAATACTACATGTATTGTCAAGTAGTACTGCGTATAAGGAGCAGAACTCCTTCCACAAGACCCGGATCATGATCGTTTTTGAGACTTTTTCCGTCCAGCCGGCTGACGATTACATTCCTTAGTCCTCTTTCACTCTCATTTCTTCTTTCCTTTTTGTCTGATGATTTGTTTCTTTTCGTTCGTCCTTTCATTGTACTTGGCACTGTGACGGCTGTACGAGGAAAGCAATGGTGTTGGATCCCTCCGATGTCCCAAATAAAGGTCCCCTATTTGTCAAGGTGACCGCTATCTTGACGGTGATCGCCTTCATATTAGTGGCCTACCGAATACTATGGAAGGTTTACATGAAAAGCAAAATCGCCGCCGATGATGCGATCATCTCTTTCTCCATGGTACATCGTGCGTTGGCTATTGATTTGCACTTGAACTAACAAAGGAAACAGGTTATACAGATTGTAAATACGGTCATGGGGGACTTGGGTATGCTCTCTGTCTGATCGATGATACGTCTATAATGTCTAAATATGGCCGCCATTTTAGCATGTCACTACGCCTTCGGTCGCCACCGCGCCGACGTGGTTCGAACAGGAGGCAACCGGGTCCTCGCATTGAAGGTGAGATTCCTCCAGATGACACTAAGTAGTAAAACTAACCTTGGATGACCGGGTAGTTCTTCTGGCTCTTCCAGATCTTCTACAAGCTCGTCCTATGTCTCAACAAGCTATCCTTCCTCGCATTCTACCTTCGTCTCTTCCCAACCCCCAAATTCCGTCTTATCTGCTGGATCACCATCGCTCTGGTCCTATCCAGTACCTTCGGATTCGTAATCGCCACCATCTTCCAATGCATCCCCGTCCACGCGAGCTGGCACAAGGACATTCCCAAAAAATGCGTCAAAAACGCTGAATTCCGCTGGTCCTGGGCGGGCTACAACACCATCATGGACATCTGGGTGTGCCTAATGCCCATTCCCGTCCTAGCACGGCTACACCTTGACCGTTTCCGCAAAATCGGGGTGATGCTCGTCTTCTGCATGGGCCTCTTCGTTTGCATAACCAGTATTGTTCGCATGTGGGCCATGGCTGAAAGCACAAAAACGAACGACCCAACCTGGGGATCGTTCGATGCGCTGATGTGGAGTGCTATCGAGGCCAGTACGGGGATTATTTGTGCTTGTCTACCATTTTTGAAGCATCCGATCCAGAGGGCTATTCCTAGTTGGTTTGTTTCCCTGTCGAATGGCTCGAGGAAGACGAGGCCGAGTTACCGGATGAGTCGGCTCGGGTCGCAGTCTGGAATTCGGACGGGCGGGCAGAGGGATGAGGATTATTATGAAGAGGCTGATTCTGAGAGTATGGGCAGTCAGGGTCCCATTGCCAAGAATCAGATCGTTATGAAGACGGATATTGTCATGCGTACTGAACGGGCTTATTCGTGATATGAATCTACACTGTTTTTTTTTTAGAGAGAGAATCGATATCAAATTAAATGTATACATTTACGGAGCACGGTCATGGTCATGTTCATAATGCCACGGCGTATTACCACCTTTCAAGGCTTCGCAAGGCTTCTTTTTTCTTAATTTTTCTCGCTCTCGGTGCCTCTGTGGATCATGACCCACTCCCGGCGCGCCCTAAATTAGCTTAATTCCACTGACAGGGATCCTGGCCGAGTACGAGGACCGAGAATGAAACATTAATTAAGTGCTCATGGCGTGATATCCCTAGTCAGGTAGTACTCCGGTGGACTTCCGAATATTGATTGCTTTCCTCCCGCCTGTCGATTAATCCCTGTTACTGAAACGGTACACACTCTGACAACCCTAACACTTCCAATGACTGGCATAAAGCAACGGAGTTAAGGGATTGTCACAATAACCCTCATCTAAGTCCACTCTCAGTAATAACTGCAACATGGCCCAGGAACACACCGTGGAAAGTACTATTGTGGCGGACGCCTTTCTAGAGGCCTTGGCGGAGGTACAGCTTATCCCTCGTTTTCTTTGGGGAATGAATAGAATCTAAATCATGACAGGCTGGAGTCGACTACCTCTTCACCGTACTTGGCTCCGATCACCCTAGTATCATTGAAGCCTATATCCGCCGTCAAAATGACCCCACCCGTCAGTATCCCAAGATGATACTGTTCCAGCACGAGGTCAGTGAACCGTTTCGTCCACCAGGATCAGCACATGGAACCCCACTGATCGATCACTCAGTTCGTGGCTATGTCAGCTGCAGATGGCTACGCTAGGATCAGTCACAAACCGGCATGTGTGATCGCCCACGTGGACGTGGGGACTGCTGCTCTGGGTCAGGGCCTGCACAATGCATCTAGCGGACGTGCCCCTGTCGTAATCTTCGCCGGTGTCGCCCCATCCACGCTGCTGGGTGAGGTTCCAGGTTCTCGTTCAGAGCATGTCCAATGGTACCAAGATATTCGCGACCAGGCAGCCATCGTGGCACCCTATAGCCGCTTTAGCGCGGAGATCAAGTCTCCGTACAATGTTGGGACCGTGGTGCATCGTGCTGTCCTAATGGCCACGACCGGCTCCCCAGGTCCGGTATATCTCACTGCCACTCGGGAGATCCTAGCTACTCCCATCCCCTCTGTGGAGCCCCGGCCAAAGCCCGTTCCTTCCTGTCACTTGGGATCCTTGTCTCCCGAAGCAGTGGAAGCTATCGGTAATACACTGCTGGACGCAAAAGCCCCTCTTGTAATCACAGGCTACCTAGGTCGAAGCCACCGCGCAGTCGAACAGCTAATCACTCTAGCGGACACGGTGCAAGGCCTCCGAGTCTTCGACTCCGAGCTCCGCGAGGTCTGCTTCCCGGCAACTCACCCAGCCTACCTAACCCGTGGCACAGGCGCCGCGCCAGCCATCCAATCTGCCGACGTAATCCTAGTCCTAGACGCCGACGTCCCCTGGATCCCACGTCGAGTGCACCCCTCCTCAAGCGCAACAATCTACCACATCGACCTCGACCCGCGCAAAGAACGCATGAACATGTTCGACATCGGCGCCTCCGCCACCTTCCACGCCGACACAGCATCAGCTCTAGCCCAACTCAACACCTACATAACCAGCTCCCCACGACTCCCAGCCCTGCAGGAATCCTGGACCGCCCGAGCCCAGGATCTTCTAACTGCCCATAAGGAAGGGAAAGCCCGCATCGACGCCCGTGCCACAACACCACTCTCCACCCCCGACGAACCCTGCACCGTCGACTACCTATGTAGCCGCATCCGCGCCTCCGTCCCGGCGGATACAATCTACATCACAGACTCAGTCACCAACCAAGTCCCCATGACCGAACAACTCCAACTCACCCGTCCCGGATCACATCTCACAAAAGGCGGCAGCGGACTAGGCTGGTCCGGCGGCGCGGCTATCGGCGTTTCACTCGCGACAGCCCGGTACGATATCTCTAATCGTCCTAATTTACAGCTTAACGAAACCACCAAAGTCCCTTTCATCTGTAACATCGTCGGCGACGGGAGCTTTGTTTTCTCCGTGCCGACGGCAGTTTACTGGGCTGCGCATCGATATCAGACCCCTTTCTTGACTGTTATCTTGAATAACGGGGGGTGGAATGCTACGAGACAGTGTTTGGCCGATGTGCATCCTAGCGGTGTGGCGGCGGGATTGTCAAATAGTGACCTTGGTATCTCGCTGGTGGAGGATGGCCCGGATTATGGAGAAGTGGCGAGGGCGGCTGCGAATGGGAATTTGTGGACGAAGAGGGTGCGCAGTGTGCGGGAGTTGGATGAGGTGCTGAGGGAGGGGATTAGGGTTGTGGTTCAAGAGCGGAAATCGGTTGTTTTGGATGTTGTTATTAGGTAGAGAACACATTTCTGGACTGGCTAAATTGTTTCTCAAGCTGGGTTAATAACCTAAGATACACTCCTCCCTGGCTTTCGCATCATGCAGACCAAATTCACCCAGTCACCATCGTTCCCTCCCCTACCTGTAAATCTACCAGCGTCGAAATGTATAACACTCTCGTCTTCCAGGGAAGATATCTCTTCAAATCCCTTTCTCTTGTATACTGGGTATCCCTTTTTCGACGACTCGACATAGCACTCAATCCCAAGCCTATCAGCAAAATGGCAACCCCACTGCGTTAAGAGAGAAGCTGCTCCCCGACGCTCATAACGAGAGTCCGTAGCTAGCAATGCCAGTACTACGTTGGCCATCAGTATGCAACCCTTGGAGAAACAGCAGTGCACAGAACTTACAACAATGCTCCCTCCCTTCCTCTCCAAAGAACGCTCTCCGTTTCTCCATTAATTTGCCCTTACAAAACCGAAAGCCATCCTCGTTTGCTCCCAGCGGAATTTTCATACCCTCATCCGTCCTCACAGAAGCGCGCCATTCCTTCAATCCCTCTGCCCCATGGTAAACATGCCACTTGGCGAACGCAATCATCTCACCGGAGTCGTCGTCAACGGCTTTCAGAAAATAGCAGGTGGGGTCTTTATCCCAGTTATGCAAGACTCGGGATATTTTGTTGGTCCTGCATGGTGATGCCGACACCTCTTCCGGGGTCCCGTCTATATTCGGTACGTCTCCAGTACTGCGGAAAAAGGCACTGGCTCCCATTGCCCTTTGTTGGATGTCAACCATACGTGGGATATCGACTTGGGTGATGGGTTCTATGTGTATTGGCATCTTGTTCGTCTATCTTCTTGGGGGGGTGCTTATTGTTCGTCACGGTGATGTGTATTCGTCTTGCGGGGGTATTGATTAGGGTGATATTGCTGCACAGGAAAATAGAAGAAAACGTACTTTTCTAGTCTCTACGAAAGGCTTGCCTTGGTTAGCATCTTTCCATTATATGTGCTTTCGTATCTGCATGTCGGTGTTTCCAGCCAATGATGTCGTACTTGACATGACTCACAGCGAGCCGATTCGTCGACTTCTTCGTCTTGGCTGAATCTGACCTTGAGAAAAAAAAACTCTGAAGTAATATATCATGAAAGGGTGCATCGTCGAGCATTTAATGAGCTTGGTTTGAGCATTTGGGCTTGGAAGGTGTTGATTTGGGAGTTAAAAATTAAGGTGTGTAGGGATAGCCACTAGTAGCAATATATATCTTAGTGTATTGAGTGAATACCAATTCATGTCAATTTGCATATCATTATATTCTTGAGTAGACAAGCCAGATACGATCTGTTCTTGGCAAAGCGGACCTAGCTTATTATGAATACAAATACAATTTCCCTGTAACCCACGATTTCTTCGACCTCACTTCAAGATTACTGCAATATTGAAGAATGCAAATTGAAAAGGTTGATTGTTGGAACATGTGCCTTATAAATCAATAACTAGAGCAAGCAATCACCAATTCAAGGTGCTGTAGTATAGTGGTCAGTACGGTTCGTTGTGGTCCTATGGGACATTCCCGAACAGACCTGGGTTCGATTCCCAGC